TAGAATATAGTTTTTCTAATCATGACAAAATAAACACAAAATGTACGTTCCCAAAAAACAAACAAAAATTCGCACTTATTTCAGTTTTTAGTTCGTAACTCGGAAAATATACAGGGTGGGCCACCAGTAACGCCTCGGTCTCTAGAAGGCTAACCACTTATCTTCTTGAAATTCTTCCTCTCTAGGAAGTTGCATGTCAACATAGGCTACCATTTAAAATTATTTCGAAACATACAGGGTGTCCCCAAAAACCATAAAACACTGAAGTTAAACTTTTTTAATCGAACACCCTATATATTATTTAATTTTGAGATTCTCCCTGATGAGCTGATTTCAACGACCCATCATACTTGGGGTCTAGCAGTTATAATTACTGAAATATAGGGTGTGAAAAATCGAGATTTTCCAAGTTCAAGAATTTTTTGTGTCGAAACTATTCATAATTGGTCAAAACGGCTTACATGTCCCTATCTCAACTTTTGATTAACTATCTACTGATATTTAATTGGGACATATAGCGGGTGATCAAGATTCTGAATTCTGCACCACCCTGTATTTGTTTCAATTAAATGTCAGTAGATATTTGATCAAAAGTTGAGATAGGGACATGTGAGCCGTTTTGACCAACTATGAATGGTTTAGACACAAAAAATTCTTGAACTTGGAAACTCGATTTCTCACACCCTATATCTCAGTAATTATAACTTCTTGACCCCAAGTATGATGGATTGTTGAAATCAGCTCACCAGGGAGAATCTCAAAATGAAATAATATATAGGGTGTTCGATTGAAAAAAGTTTAACTTCAGTGTTTTATGGTTTTTGGAGACACCCTGTATGTTTCGAAATAATTTTAAATAGTAGCCTATGTTGACATGCAACTTCCTAGAGAGGAAGAATTCCAAGAAGATAAGTGGTTAGCCTTCTAGAGACCGAGTCGTTACTGGTGGCCCTGTATATTTTATCGAAAAGACCACAAGTTGAAATTAGTAAAATTTTCTGTATATAATCTTTCTTACTCATTAATGTAGGACTATAACGGGTGATGAGCTGGAGCAATAAGTTGAAAAGTAACCAAATTTGCATAATTCTCAAAAAATAGCATTCTTCGTGATTTTTTTTTCACATCCCGGGGGGGGGGGGTTAATTATGTTGAGGTAAAATCATAACTCGGTGAGACTCGATCATTTCGATTTTCTAAGGTCATTTTATGCCTGAGATATGGGATATATAAAAAATAATAAGAACAAAAAGTATTTATTTGTTGGTTTTCAATCGAGATCCGTGCTGAAAAACGGGTGTTTCCATTTGAAAAACTCGACTTCCGGTCTAAAAGCCCCACTTCCGGTCTAGACCTGAAGTCGTAATATGAACCTGTCAATGGCCTCCTTGGTGCCTTACAATATTTGTCTGAAACTTTTTTCGAAATAATCGAGTCCAACCGAGATATAATTTTGTCTCAAGATAAATGCCCCACCCGGTACCTACACCTCACGCTTTAATAACGCCAAATGACTATTTCACCAATCACAAGCCAGAGACAACGTACGCTTATCGCGAAAACGTTAGCTGTCTTTCAATTCTGATTGGTCTATCAGCGTTGATGTTTTCAACTATGTAACGATGGATAGCGAAGCAAAGTCTGTCATTTTGGCTGTACTTGTCAAAATGGATCACTCATTTATAATAAATGCTTTTCATGCTTCGTGAATGTGAAATAGTCTAGCAAAATACCACATTGTTCTGAATATCTCCTCATAATTCTGTCTCTCATTGTTCAATTTTGCGAACAATGAAGCGACAGAATTATCTCAAATATTCAGAACATAGTGATAATACTTATGAAAATGCAACACCTCATTAGTTGATTATAATATTCGAAAAGTGACATCAACTTTGCACATAATAATACAAGATGTTTAAATATTAATAAATAAAAAAAAGCTCAAAATCATTTCCACAAATGCTCATAAAATGAACAACAATGGTAGATGACGAGAGAAAAACAAACTACTTTCCTGGCTAATGCAACGCAGAACATTGAATTACATCCTCCCGCAATCTATGCATCGATACGTATGAACGAATACAAAGGCAATTGTTTCATTTCCTAATGCCGATTGAGCTCGATTTAGCCAGGTTAACGCAATGACACCTACAGACCGGCTTCGAGCTCCTTGACTCTCATCAGTGTAGGGTAGTCTCCAGCTAGCAGTACAAAGGTCTTATGGTCTCAGAGGAATCTCCCGTGGGCACAGGTGTGCTAGACGGGTTCAACGTCATCTAGACCGCATAGAAGGAAAGAAACACTCCACAAAACTAAAATACCCAAAAATAGGAGTGGCTGATTGCCCAACTAGCGTAATTTCAACTACGAATTAGCTAGGTTACGCTTAGCCGGCAGTCTTCGGAGTGCTAGCTGAAGCCTACCCTACATTGATGAGAGTCAAGGAGCTTGAAACCGGTCTGTAGGTTTCATTGCGTTAGCCCATTAGTATTCGTTCATACGTAGATTTGGATTAGATTTGGATTTGGAATGGGCCCTTCGGGCTATCTGCCTCCACACTGTGACCTTTCCAGATCTATTGTGTCTGCCCTCAAAATCGATTAAGTTCTTCGGCTAGCCCCGCCTTCTCTATGAGACTCCATAGGCTAGCTTTCAGATCTCCTGTGTATCTCTGGGCTCCTGGTTTTTCCTCACCCAGCGTAAGGAACCTTAGTCTTGACAAGCCCTCACAGTGGCAAAGTATGTGTACTGCTGTTTCTTCCTCTTCTTGACAGAACCTGCACAGCAGTTCTTCAGTCAGACCTATCGTACTCATGTGTTTGTTGAGCCTACAATGCCCTGTGAGAAGTCCCACTAGTATTCTAGTTGAACTTCGTTTCTGGCTTAGTAGATATTCTGTGAATGTTGGCGATGGTTTTTTAATAAACTCTTTTGCCTGTCTCATTCCTGGCGAGTTGTTCCACCATTATTGAGATTTGGTTTGCATCCATGATTTGATACTAGTCTTTTGTATAGCTTTCGCAATACCACAGAAGGGTTCTGGGCCATTAAGAGCTTTGTTTGCTCCTGCTCGGGCAATCTTCCTCTTCATTGCCCTCGTACCCTGTATGTGCTGGTGCCCATGCTAGAGTCAATCTGTTCTGACTGCCCAGTGCATTTAGGGTTTCTAAGCAGTCCCATACTAGTTTTGAGTTAACATGCATAGATTGCAATGGTTTTGCCTTTAAACTCTTGCCTTATCAATTCTTTCACGCAATGATGTATTGCAATAATTTCTGCCTGAAACACCGTCGCGTATTTGCCTAAGCTCAGTGAGATTCTTGTCTTTGGCTTGGCCCCATAAATACCAGCTCCTGATCCTTCCTCAGTTTTGGAGCCGTCCGTATAGACAGCAATGTCTGCATTGATAGGAGGTCCTCCCTTCCATGCCTCTCTGTCCGTTATACCTATTTTAAAAGTCATACATATCAATGCATAGATTTCGGGAGGATGTAATTCTATATTCTGCGTGGCATTAGCCAGGAAAGTAGTTGTTTTTCTCTCGTCATCTACTATTGTTGTTCATTTCATGAACATTTGTGGAAATGACTTTGAGCTTCTTTGTGTCTGCCTTACTTCAATTGGACAAAAAGAAGTCCTATGAACATAGGTTCGGAAAGGCTTAGTTTCCGCTATACAGCCCAGCGAGCACAAACATCCCTGGGATGTTTTGGGATGTTTTGAAAATGTTGGCATGAAGATGTTATTTTGAGACGTAATATGCACTGACCAAAGAGGTCTTTGAAGGATATTGAAGTATAGTTTTTGTTCTTCTGTGGCATTTCTTTGTTTGGGGATGTTTTAGAAATGTAGGCATGAGGATGTTTTTTTGAGGCGTAATATGCACTTCCCAAAGAGGTCTTAGAATGATATGAACATAGGTCCGGAAAGGCTTAGTTTCCGCTATACAGAGGGTGTTGATGTTTTGAATGAATATAATATGTCTCATCTCCAATATCTCAAAAATCCAAATTTCAGTTTTTCTTGAACCTGGTACAGTTGTTCGTTTTACTGAAACATATGTCCTATTGTATTTAAATTAGCATTGTATAGTCTAGTGGCGTCATCACCTGAATTTCTGACATATCTTGCTATGTTTTAAAAAATCTATATTTCTTTTATACGATCCTGAAATCCCTGTACTTATTTATGCAACAACTGCAGAAGTATGTGTTTAATCTCAGGTAAAAGTCCATGTTGAGTGTTAATTGCACGCGACGTAAGATTGTATGGGTGTGACGGCGCAATATAGAAACTACTTTCTCTGTCACACTCATTGAGCATATGAAGTATCTTCGTAATCGTTTGAAATAAACCAATCAAACCCGGTATCGTTGAATTCGTTATAATAATCTATAATCGATTACGAAATTGAATATAGGGTGTTCCATTTGAAAATTGTAAGTTTTTTTTTAAATTTATTTTTGCAAACAGGTATACCAACAGGACGAACCCAGAGACATTATCCACATATAGGTATACCAAGGATATCATGTTGTTAGGTATTAAACTCCATTATACAGTGCAAAAATTTTATATATTTTATATGAAACAGAACATGTTTCAACATATCATGAATTGGATGATAGAACAAGTTGATTTCCAGGAAAACCGGAAGACGAAAAAAAATCCTAAAATGTGAGGAAATGCCTTCTAGTGAGCATATTCGTTGTTTTAAATTTCAGTAATGTGGCTAGAAAAACAAAGGATAACAGTTGGTTTACCATGATTTTGTGTCACCCGGTATAATTGATTTAAATTATTTCAATTGGTATTCTCAATTACAACAAATATAAAGCTAATCAGTGTAAAACTAATTCGATTAAAATTCATCAGACGGAAACTCACTAATTGTGTCGATGATATTGGCTAGATTGTATTCTATAACTCAATTGTGCCACAACTGTCATTTGTCTGTATGATCTAGAAAAATTAATTTCATCTTTATATTTCAGATATGCTTGCTTCAAAGACCTCAGTGAGTCAATCGAAGAAAATGGCAATGGCATTGATGAATTCACCAAGGCATATAACTATTATGGAGTCAATGTTCAACCAGACAATTCGATAGTTTGTAGAGAATGGGCCCCTGGGGCCCAACAGCTGTTCTTAGCAGGGGATTTCAGTAAGTGTTATTTATTCGATGCTACAAAATATACAGAAGGCCTGGTACACTGCACAGTACAGGCTGTCCCATTTTCGAGGTACTCACAGTATACAGAGAAGTGCACAAAAAAGTACAGTGCAATAACTTCTGAATCATTCGAGATCGAAATTTGAAAATTGGTGGGTAGCAAGTATACCAAATCGCTCATTAACTGACAAAACCATTTTTGTTCTATCACTTTCAGTTTCACCGGAAACGACCCCGAATTCTGATTTTCAAATAGGACACCCTGTATTTTATTCCATAATATGTTAGGGATTATTATGACAAATTCAACGATACCGGGTTTGATAGGGTTATTTCAAATGATCACGAGGATATATGGGTTCGAAATTTTAATATGCTCAATGGGTGTGACATCTCAATTTCGAAACTTATTTTTCTGTCACTCTCATTGAGCACATGGAAACTTAGAATGCGGATATCTTCGTAATCATTTGAAATAACCCTATCAAACCCGGTATCGTTGAATTCGTTATGATAATCCCTAACCGATTATGGAATAAAATAGAGGGTGTCCCATTCAGAAATCAAAAGTTGGAGTCGTCTCCGGTGAATCTGGAAGTGAAAGAATAAACATTTTTTCGTCAGTCACTGAGCAATTTGGTATACTTGCTACACATCAATTTTTAAAATCAGATCTCGAATGATTCAGAAGTTACAGCACTGGCCGCTTTTCGTGCACTTCTCTGTATGTCACTTATTTTCAAAGATAGAGACTTGCGGCTTTCGCGAACGTTGGCCATTTCATTGTGAAACTCACGATACCACAAAACATAGCACACTTCGTTTTTGAGATATAGGGCGAAATTGAAAACATTGCATTTTGGAACCCCCTTGTACCTCAGCTATCTTTCAACCTATCGGAAAAGTAAAAACTGTCTCTTATACAGTGTGTCCCACTTACCATGCTCACCATGGGTATCTTTTTAACGGTGAGAGATACGAGGTCGGTTAAATGACACCAAATGTGGAGTTTGTCAAGGCCACCTATAATGTGAAAAAATATTTTGATAAAATCTATTCGTTTTTGTTTTATATGCAAAAAACAGATTTTGTTCATTTTCATGTCTCCTCCGTAACTTATTTATTTATGAAAATATTCAAATAGGAATTTCACATTCTCATGGCAGTTTTTCGAAGTAATTTCGAAAAAAATATGAAATTTGTACCAACTCTTCTAGAATTCGAGATATCAGCACCAACTTTAGTTTTTCAAATGTAGGTCATAGCTCACTATGACTTTGTTACATATAACTTTTTTTTCTCTCACAGATGATATGTCGCAGTAATAGTGCAGAATTCAGAATCCTGATCACCCGGTATATGTCCCAATTAAATATCAGTAGATAGTTAATCAAAAGTTGAGATAGGGACATGTAAGCCGTTTTGACCAATAATGAATAGTTTCGACAAAAAAAATTCCTAAAGTTGAAAAATTACGATTTTTCACACCCTATATCTCTGTAATCATTTCCGCTAGACCCCAAGTGTGATACATCAATGTAATCAGATCTTCAGAGAGAATCTGAAAATGCAATGAAATACAGGGTGTCCCGTTTAAAAAAATGAACTTCTAAGTCACCGTGCTTTTTAGAGACACTCTGTATGAATGAAACTTAAACCATTAAAGAGATCGAATGAAACCCTACAACTTATGTATTTAACATTTTTTTGTAATATGTAGAATAAAGAAGTTACAGGGGGGGCGACGGACTTTTGGTCCTCACTGTTTAAGTAACACACTAGGATAAAACATTTAGTTTTAATTTTCTCCTGAAATACGTGTCCAGGTGTAAAAAATCATTTTGGTCAGTGGTAAAACAGTGTATAGTGTAAAATACTGTCTGTAGGTTAATCTAGGAGGTGGTACATTCATTTTAATTGAATATTTGGGGTTTTCTCTCCTCGTTTCTATAAAATAAAAATATGAGTGTTATTTCAATATATATGTAGTAGGAGAAATCAGAAGATTTTTCCCAAAATGTCACTGTGTTTAAGAAATTTTTCTTTCAGGGACCCTAAAAGAAAAATCCAATAGCTTGTCAGTGACACTTTGTTCGAAAAAATGTTTGAAGAGAAGAAATATAGATATATTGAAAAAATATCGAATTTCTACTCATCTTATCAAAGATATATTCGATAAATCGAAAATTCGGTATACAGGGTGTCCCGTTAGTAATGGATCAAAAGAAGTGAGGTGGTAGGGGGGTCATTTCTAATCAAACTAACCGTATATGTGGTTATTCAATAATTGTTGATGGTTCAAAAGTTATTAATGTTTTTTCATATCTATAAAAGGACTTATCTACAATGAAACTATGTCACTTTTTTGAATTTTTCTTTTACAAATCTCATCCACATGGATGCACCTTTCCCCAGAAATAATTTCATGGCATGTATTACTTCTCATCAATTACCTGAGAAAAATGTTGTTTTTCTTGAGTTTTGTGATCTAATGAAATATTTAAGTCGATTTTTAAATGCCGCTGGCAGATTCAAAAACTACCCCACAAAGAAAACCTTTCATGAGAAAAAGTTGCCCATTTAATATAGATTCCGAAATGGTATAACATATGGGGTTATTCAAAACAGCCTTTTTGTTATTGATTTTTTTCAAATAGGTTGCATTTTTCAGAAGAATTGAACTTTTGAACCATCAACAATTTGATAACAATATATACCGTTAGTTTGATTACAAATAACCCCCCCTACCACCCCACTTCTTTTGATCCATTACTTATGGGACACCCTGTATATATATATATATCGGATATTCGAATATTCAGTTATTTTATTTATCGGATATTCAAATATACGAATATTTCAATTTTCGAAATATCTAATATTTGAATATTCGACTATACGATTTATCGGATATGCGAATATTTTCCACAGGATATTATTTGATGCATTGAATATTCGATAGTTTATCGAATAATATTGGATATGATATTGGATATCACAAATGGATTCAATTTTCCTTTAAAATACTAATATTGCTATACATTCATTCTAGATATCAATTGAGTAACTGTGAAATACCACCACACGTATTATTAAATTTGTTGGATCGCATCCTTATACCGGGTGTAACAGGATCATGGTATACCAAACCATTTTAATGAACTTAATTTGGTTATAAATCAAGAAATTTGACATTTTTGACCGGGTTAAATTTTTTTTAATATTACAGCTGTTGATATAAGCCTCGATCGAATTAGTCATGGCACACTCAGAAGGAAAATCAAAAATGAAATTCGAATCAATATTGAATTTTGAGATATCACTTATGTGGTATCATTGGATTCAGAAAACTATGCTGAATTTGATAATCATGTCAGATCCTAACCTAACCTGCCTTCCAAGCTCATATCATGAAAATAGAAAGAGTTAAGAAACGTTTTTTGCGTTATATTGGTTTCAAGCTCGGTATTCCTATGGAGGAATTTGATTATGACAATATTTTAAATCGCCTAAACATAAAAAGCCTAGAAGAGCGTAGAAGCAACAATGACATCATCACTATTCAAAAATTATGTAATAATCAGATTGATTGTCCTGAATTATTGGCCTCCCTAAAATTTCATGTTCCCCAAAAACGATTACGTTATAGCAGCACTTTCAATTTAGAAACTCATAGAACTATATATGCAAACAATAGCCCGATAAACAGGATGATGACGCTGAGTAACAGAGTGAACTGGGACATTTTTAACACTGGCACTGAAAGAGCCAAACGCATTCTTGCAATAATGTAATGTTTTTATTCTTTATGTTCATTGTATTTAAAGTGTAGATATGTATAAATCAATCAATGTTCTGTGATATGTTGTATAGGCTATATATATTCATGTTTTTTTTACACTGGGTTCACCCGTTAATGAATAAATAAATAAATAAATAAAAAAGATCCATCGCAAAAGCTGCTTCACAAAAACTCGGATTCTTGTTCCGTGCGAAAAGCTACTTTACACCTCAACAGCTTCTCATGATCAACAAAGCGCAGATACGGCCTGTTCTAGAATACTGTTCCCACAGATGGGGTTCAGCACCAAAACATACGCTGATGCTCTTAGATTCCATCCAGAGAAGAGCCATTCGCCTGGTGGGTGACGCCACACTCACTCACTCTTTGACATCATTGGAACACCGTAGAAAGGTCGGCGACCTCTCACTATTCTATCGATACTTCCACGGGAAATGTTCTTCGGAAATCTCTGCTATCATTCCTTCACTAGCAATACCAATCAGACGAACTAGACAAGCCCAGTCAGCACATCCTTTCGTTGTCAACCCCGAAAGATGTCGAACAGCACTTTATCAAGACTCCTTCATCCATAGAACGACTAGGCTCTGGAATTCATTGCCTGTGGAAGTATTCCCAACAACATATAATCTCCAAAAGTTCAAAAAAAATTCCAATACCTACCCTCTGTTCCTATCCTCCCTAGGAACGCACCATGTTCTTCGAACATTATAGGGATTCCCTTTCGTGCGCTCCAAGCGATAAAAAAAATACAATGATATACAGGGTGCTCCATTTGAAAATCAAAAGTCACCACCACTTCCGAGAAAACCGGAAGTGGGAAAGAAAATATATTAATGTCAAAACACGACATTCATCAAATTGATTGGTCATTCCAAATTTCAATCACTTATCTCCAGAACTGAAGGAGAAAAAGGGGGTGTACCATAATCCTGTTACACCCGGTATATTGCACGGTGGCACATTTAGGGAAGTATTGAACTGATATATCGAATTACCCAACATATCAAATACCTTCTATATATTGAATATTTGAATATTCCAATATTCGGATACTGGATACATCTGAAACGCGATATTTCGAATATTTTAATATTCGAATATTTGTATATTTGAATATTCGAATAAATCAATATTCGATATATCGATATATGGAATATTCGAATATTGGATGTATCGAATATTCGTATATTGGCACATTTCGGAAAGTATTGAATTGAAAATTGAAAAAATGATAATGGTCTTCTAGGGATGAAAACATATTGACTATTCGATATATCGAATTACCCGACATATAAAATACCTTCTATATATTGAATATTTGAATATTCCAATATTTGGATACTGGAAACATCTGAAACACGATATTTCGAATATTTTAATATTCGAATATTTGTATATTTGAATATTCTAATAATTAAATATTCGAATATCGATATTTTTCTACCGAAATATCGAATATTCTATAAAATATCGATATATCGAAATACATTTTCAGGCCTAGTACATTGAGTCTTCAATATCTGAGACCAGTCTATCTCTTTTAGTTCCCGATATCCCAATGGTAGGTATTGAATTCGGAACAAACTCTATGTATTTATTTTTTTCTTCAGATAATTGGAATAGGGACAGTCATCCATACAACAAAAAGGAATATGGAAAATGGGAGTTGGTGTTACCACCCAATTCAGATGGTTCACCTGCTATCAAACATTTGTCAGAAATCAAGGTATACAGTAATTCATTTCACACTACTAATATATTTTCAGAATATCTGGAATTGTAGCTAACTTTTCCAATTTGATCTCCCCTTATTTTCATGATTCTTTGAGTTCCTTCTCTGGACAATTTCAGAATTCTACGTCAATCAGCATTTCTTCAGGCTTTGATATTTGAAGTAGTTTTAATTTTCACTCGTTCGACAAATATTTATCTCCCACAAAATACGAAAATCAGAAACTTCATTCTGGAATGTTTGAAAATTCTTAGTTTGTATATGGCGAATCAAAGAAACTTAGTAAAATGACACAATAAAAACATTACTTCATTCTTAGCGTTTGCTCTGGCTGTCCAATTCATATTCAATAAGACGAAGAATGATGTGTACTAGAAAATATATTAGAAATAATTACAATTTGTTTCAAGTTGGTGAAATATCCTCAATTCTTCAACATTCTCTAGATTTTTTCTTGTAGTTAATGAAATTCTGCGACCATGTGTTGATAGAGGAAACGGAAGAAATTTCACTAATAGTTCATTTCCACCACTGTCCAAATCCGACGGCACATTAGCAACAACATCGCAGGAGAAAGCGAATATTTTTGCAGAGATGTTCGCAGCAAACTCTACTTTAGATTCCCAAGGAAAACTGCCGCCAGACATTCCACCCGTTGAGAGTCAAATGCCCGAAATCGTCTTCCGTCAACGCACTATCAGACGAATTTTGCTTGGTCTCAAAACGAATAAGGCTAACGGTCCTGATGGAATTCCACCCATTATCCTCAAAAAATGTGCACCAGAATTAACACCGATTCTCTGCAAGTTGTTTACCATCTCGTACAGGTCGGGTATTTTTCCATCATGCTGGAAGACAGCTAGAGTCCAACCAATCCCCAAAAAAGGAAACAAGAACCTGCCCAACAACTACAGGCCCATTGCCCTGTTATCAGTAATCTCCAAAGTGATGGAGAAAGCCATCAATATTGAACTTATCAAATATCTGGAGAGCTCAGGAATCATCAATGATAGACAATACGGCTTTCGCCACCGAAGATCTACTGGAGATCTACTTGCCTACGTCACCCATTTATGGCAATCTTCAATAGAAAAACACGGGGAATCTCTAGCTGTCGCGTTGGATATATCGAAAGCATTCGACCGTGTTTGGCACGAAGGACTCCTCCACAAACTACCATCATACGGCTTACCACCTCAGCTATGCCATCTCTTATCGAGTTTTCTTTCAGGCAGATCGCTTCACGTGGTGGTGGACGGTGTATCGTCTAATACCATTGGCATCAACTCCGGCGTTCCACAAGGATCAATTTTGGCACCAACATTATTCCTGCTTCATATCAATGATCTGTTGGGAGTAACAACTTGCCCCATCCACAGCTTTGCAGATGAAAGTACCCTCCATACTGCGTTCTCTTCCAGAATTCCCGTTTCTTCCCAGGAAACTAAGAACTCACGGCGCAGGCAGGTCAATGCTGTCAATGAAGATCTTGCTGAAATCACAGCCTGGGGAACGAACAACCTAGTTCAATTCAACGCCACCAAAACTCAAGCCTGCATTTTCTCTAGAAAGGCGGAACTCAGTATGCCCGATATTGTAATGTCTGGCTCCACCGTCCCCACCAAGCCCACCATATCTATGCTCGGTATTTCCATCAGCAACACTCTTTCATGGGATAATCATGTCAGATCCATTGCAAAAGCTGCTTCACAAAAACTCGGATTCTTGTTCCGTGCGAAAAGCTACTTTACACCTCAACAGCTTCTCATGATCTACAAAGCGCAGATACGGCCTGTTCTAGAATACTGTTCCCACATATGGGGTTCAGCACCAAAACATACGCTTATGCTCTTAGATTCCATCCAGAGAAGAGCCATTCGCCTGGTGGGTGACGCCACACTCACTCACGCTTTGACATCATTGGAACACCGTAGAAAGGTCGGCGACCTTTCACTTTTCTATCGATACTTCCACGGGCAATATTCTTCGGAAATCTCTGCAATCATCCCTCCACTAGCAATACCAATCAGACGAACTAGACAAGCCCAGTCAGCACATCCTTTCGTTGTCAACCTCGAAAGATGTCGAACAGCACTTTATCAAGACTCCTCCATCCATAGAACGGCTAGGCTCTGGAATTCATTGCCTGTGGAAGTATTCCCAACAACATATAATCTCCAAAAATTCAAAAAAAATTCCAATACCTACCTCCTGTCCCTAGCGTCCCTAGGAACGCACGATGTTCTTTGAGCATTATAGGGATTCCCTTTCGTGCGCTCCAATCGATAAAAAAAAAAGATCAGCAATGGGCGTGTACACCTCAGTAGAATTTTTAACTCAAACCATGTTTATAATGATCCTTTTATACTATACATAAATAATGATTGACGACATAATTCGATCGAAAAATTTACTGGAATGTTTTATTTTTGGACATAAATGATAGAACCTTCTGAAAACGGTCCCTCTTATGACGTAGAAACCTCATCTCGCCATAATTAAAAGAAAATACCAAAAGCCCGACGGAGACTGAGGCAACTGATATATTAATTCTTTCAACTGTGATCTCGCGCTAATTCACTCTGTCAGAAATCATGTATCATTCATCTCTGTCTGGAAAAGTCTTGTTTCAGTAGTAGGATTTTGACGTCACATCATCGCCTCGTTTTCAGAGGTCCGAAAAATCGGCGATTTCAATAATTTTTATAAAACGTATGGAGCTCACAGTAAGAAACGGTTTGCGGTGGTGAGCTAGTTTGGGTGAATTCTATCGAATTATGAAATGAAAATTTTTTGTGATATGAGCCCATTGCCAATTTTTGTATTCACTCATAGTATTCGAGAAGCTCTTCCTTATCGAAAAACATGTTCATCATCAAAAATTCTTCATCAGATCGGGCGTTTGGTGTAAACGTAACAATGTATGTATTTGGCGCTGGTCGAAATCGATTGTCGTCTTGAAATCTGAATGAAGAAATGCCTTAAAAATTACAATTCCAAGAACTACACCCCATTTATACATTAAAATCAGGTTCAGAACGGACGTTCGAAACTTTTCATGCAGGATCTTTTTTTAAACTAGCTACTGACTTCCAGATAAGTTAAAAATCATTATTTCCTGACTTTAATCATAGGCTAGCTGAAAATGGCTTGAATGCTATGAGATTTTCTTCAATGTAGAGTATACATGGTGTTACAATTTGTGGCTAGGCATGGGAATCTCGGTAACCTCAAGAGATACAGAGTAGTTTAAATTAGGGCAAAGTAGCACGAACAAAATGCTGCTTTGAAATTGAAATAAATTCAATTATTTCCGGAAAAAAAGGAAACATATGCAAATTCGTTTGTATTTATCTGTCAGTTCATTTGGAGAGATATTTCAAAATGAATGTCACTTCATTGCCACTTTTTCTCCACCACAAAATAGAATTGTCAAATTAGACGTTTCTCATTCGAGCGGCCATCATCAACTTCATTTTTTTGAATATGAACCTGGGTTTTTCATTTCCTTTTTCGATAGTTTTCGATCTTGATATGATGGTGTACCAAAACATTACATAAAATGTTTACTCAAGTTACAGCGTTTTTGGTATTAATTTATCTTTGTCTAATACAGTATTCAGTGCGAGTGTTACCGAGATCCCCATGCTTAGCCACGAATTTGTAAAACCCTGTATATATTACTGTTTCAATCAATTTTCATAACGTTTATTCATGTGATTGCTTCAACTGTTTTCATCTATGTTGAAGCATAAGGAAATGTTTTGGCAGTATATGCATGTATCATACACATATTAGTATTTAGTTAGTCTTTTATTCGAACATATCCATATAGTAATTTGTAGTCTACCATTTAGCAGGCATTTATCCGCTTTGTAACAAGTACATATTTGACCCTATGTTTGGCCAATAAAATCAGTTATTATCATTATCATTAACTTTCATTTTGCCGATAAATAGACTCTAGTTTCAAGAAAAATTTTGTTGAAGCCTTTTTACTGGATAATGAGTAGTACAGATCAGGAATGTCCTCTCTTCAGATCATTTTAGGAAGATTTGTTATAATTCCAGAACATACCTACAGATACCATTTCTTTGAGTTCATATTGGTAATGTATTTTCAGTGAATTTAAATAGATTTCTTCATTTGTAGATTGTGGTACAAACATACGAAAATACAAAGGAAGATAGGTTGTCACCTTATGCAACCTATGTGGTAGAACCACCAAAAAGTGAAGGAACTATCTACAAACAGAAACTTTGGAACCCTCCAAAATCAGAGGTTAGTTGAGAATGTAGACATAGTATTCGTGATAGAAAAGTTATATTCTTTTTACTCTGACTGAGATTAACCAAGATTCTCAGTGCAGCTCAATAGGTCAGTTGTATTACATGGTTCATTTATCTTGGTCTGATGTGAGTTGTCTTAAGAACTTATTGAGACTATTTCTTCCCCCCCACCCCAACTGAGCTTGTTATTCATCTGGTGTTGTAGTGAGAAAAAGGTGAGACTGGATTAATTCTAGTAATTCTGTGGTTCTGTGCTGAAAATTGTGAAGTTATATTTTCATGTTGACATGCTTTCAGCTTTGAAGTGTTAGTCCACAGGTTAGTTCTTTTGAATACTCACTACAATAATATTTCTATGCTCCTCATGAATTTCCTCAGCCATTTTTCATTTTGGTTGAATTATGTTTTCTTCCCTTGCCCTTCCTGACAGATAAAAACGTTCTTTTTATTCAATCGACAACTGAGATCCGTCTCGCCCCCTTCTAACTCAATTGAACTCAGTAGTGAGAATGTAACAAGGTAAAAAGAATATTGCTAAAATAAGCGATCGCCACCTAGCGGGGTTTTTTAAAGTTAACAAAACAGTCTGTTTACTCTGTTTACAATTGTTTGTTGGTTGTACCTATTGCCTACCGTTGCTACCGCTTGGAAGTTTTGTAGCATACTGAAAATATCAATGGAATGCTATTCAAAAGTACAGAAAGTGTAGTTAAGTTTTTGCACAACAGTTAGTTGAAAATTATGAATTTACTATTCATAAGCTCAAAAAACTATCTATGTATTTTGATCAATAAAATATTGTTACGTTATTCGGGTGCAGAAGCGAACACGACACTATTTATTTTCGAACTGATTTATTTGAACTAGGGTCCCTTGATGGAAATTGACGTTAAAGTCATCTCAACAGGGTACGGACAGATCATAGCTGCATTCTTTTTTAATGATCTAGAGATTTTAGTTTTGTCTACTGGCATCCCTGACATTGCTGTCACGTCATATCCATGGGCGCTACAGAAAATTATTCAAAATTTTAATGATGGGTATGTACAGGGTATTTACTTGTTGGGGAAGATCATATGGCGAACGAGTTTTGTAATTATGATCAAAATTGGAAGGTATATGGGGTTTTCCGGGGTTGGAGATGATGATTGTTTCGTCAAACTTGAAAAATTCAAGATGACGGATCCAATATATAGCAAAAGAAATTTCTAATTACGATCTGATTCTATTTAAGATTGGTATCTGAGGGTTTTCGGGGTCGAACTTAATGATTTTTTGTCAAAATTGGGCAATTCTTGATGGCGGCCCCAATATTGCGAACGAACTAGACAAGCCCAGTCGGCACATCCTTTCGTTGTCAACCTCGAAAGATGTCGAACAGCACTTTATCAAAACTTCTTCATCCATAGAACGGCTAGGCTCTGGAATTCATTGCCTGTGGAAGTATTTCCAACAACATATAATCTCCAGAAGTTCAAAAAAAATCCAATACCTACCTCCTATCCCTATCATCCCTAGGAATTCACGATGTTCTTTGAACATTATAGGGCTTCCTTTTCATGCGCTTCAAGCGATAAAAAAAATTATGATCCAATTCTATTAAAAAATTCCGGGGTCGGAGATTATAACTATTTCGTCAAAATTGGGATTTTCAAGATGGCGGATCCAATATGGTGGACGAGTTCTGTAATGAAGATCCGATTCTATTCAAAATTGGTATTTGGGGGTTTACGGGGTAGGAGATAATGATTGTTTCGTCAAAATTGAAAAATTCAAGATGACGGATTCAATATGACGAAAGACATTAGTTTATATAATTATAACTCTACCACAAATAGAAAATATGTAGGATGCACGAGTGAAAATAAAGTGCCTATAAGTTATACTGCGTATACTTAGCGTATACCTACTTCTTTATTGTTACTTTCATCAATAAATTATTCGAAAATGACTTTTCATTTAAAAGAGACGGTAAATTCATGTGTATAGCATGGGGGTGAAGTATATTTTATTCCTTATTTTCCTGCACATTTTACGTATTAATTTTCATCAGTCTACTTTTCGTCCTAGACGAATTTTGTACATAGTGTGATATTAGTAACTCCATAAAGTCTTCTCCGCGTTGGATTTCTGAAAATATATTTAGCACACATGACATGAGTACAGTAGTCTAGATACCCACATCGAGGATTCCACCATTTCTCAATCATTCAGCTCATAGATAGACTACTGCTCAGCTTGAAATCAGAATTCATTCAGTCAATTCAGTCAACCCTGGTATACATGCAGTCTAAGAACAGTTTCTTTTGGTGAAGTATATTAAGCTTTCAGTACAATTTATATGATCCCTGGATCGCAAAGATTATGCTGGAGTAGTAAACTCTAAAACTAGAGGATTGTTCATCTATATCTTGGTATAGTTGAATCAGGAATTCCATATGGAAATTACGTATGATACGCCAGTGACCTCAATATAACCTAGAACACAACGAATGTCAAAAATCTAGTGTTTATCCCCAGAATTGAATAAGGATGGAACTATATAACTGTTTCACAAACACTTTAGAGTGAGAGGCGACGAGGATCTGTCCGTACCCTGTTAAGATGACTTTAACGTCAATTTCCATCAAGGGACCCTAATTTGAACTAAAGAACTTATAACTAATATTTATGTAAAACGATTTATATCACGCGGTATATAACTGTCTCACTGACACTCGCTGCTCGACTGACTGACGGCAGTTATTCGGCCGTTTATATATGAGATCACTTGGCAGGCTTTGGTTCGAGAACGTTCTCGGATGATCTGCCGTGTCCTTCTTTTTATTCAAGAAGCTTCTAAGAACAAACCTCTCTCTCTAATTGTTCCATCGATTGTTTCCAGAACATTCCAGAATCTTCTGTGACGTTATCTGTCACTGCGGCATATATTGAGTGTTCGGAAATATGCTAGTGCATTGGGGGGGTTGGAGAACGATCTGGGATGCGTGTTACAGGATGAGCGTTGTACTCCTGTCTTACTGATGATGTTTCTAAAGCCGCTCTAAGGGAAATATCATTACAGTATTAATAAAATAGAAAACAAATATACGATTGTTTTTGATATAACTGATGTAAACAAATTAAAAGCATCTTCACTGTTTGCTGCAGTGGTTTGGTTACCATTATCCATCCAGTAACTCACATATTTTGATTTTTTCATCCATCTGACACACGTAATTCTGACACAAGAAAATTCAGCACTAGATAAATGAATGACATGCACCCATAGAGTTATTTGCATGTTTGATATCATATTTATTTTATTATCAGTATCTAATCCAAGGAACGTAGTTTCTGTTTTGTATTCAATTTTAGCCTCTGCCATTTATATAGGGAGAAAACAGCGGAATGTTATGATGTTCGTTTTCTTTAAGTTGAATACTATTTAGTAAGAATCACAGCATTGCTTGATATTCAATAAATCGTCATCTATTGTCACTTGTAATTTATTGGGTGATTTGTTATGTCATTGAATGGTTATCATCTGCAAAAAGAGTGATATTTGCCGTTATGTTCAGGTTTGTGATATCGTTGATATGGATAAGAAACAAAATTGGCCCCAGAACAGATCCCTCTGGCACTCCATATTCAATTTTTGCAACTCTCGAGTCTTCCCTACTGCGGATTAACTGACATCGTGCTTCTATCATCTTCTTCGGTGTATTTTGTTCTAGAATACCCTTACCACAGTCGGATACCCTCCATTACTTTCATTTGGTACTTCAGGAAGGTTTTGTTTCAGCGATACACGTTCAAGAATCAGAAACCGACTCGCCCGAAAAGCTTGAGAATTTACGAATGTCACGTCGGCATAGCTACGTCCGAATTGAAAGTGGGCACCTACGACAATTTCACCGACAACGTTCTGCCCAGGATCATCAAACAAGGTTAATAAATTTTTTTTTCACTTTTAAAGTTAATTCCGATGCCACATCAAACTTTCAGGTTTGATATTTTTAAGTTTGATTGCCACTTTTGTTAATTTAAGGGCACGTGGACGCGTCTAAAACATCCACCCAGCCTTAACTGAATTTTTTATGTATTAAATAGAAAACACATCTTCTTTATATAAGGCCTGTTCGTTTGTCATGCTCACGGTGCTAAAAAGTTATGGGAGCAATATTTGATGTTCGTTTCTTCCAAGCAATTGATGAATGAGTGTTTGTTTGACTGAAGGAAGTAGCCATAGATATTTTTAGGGAGCAGAAAAATCAAATCAAATCGATCAAGTTGGATGACAAATGAAACGGCAGAAAGGTCGAAAAATGCAACAGTTATGAATAATAAGGAAAAAAAGAGTAAAATTAATAACATTGCCGATCACTCATAATCTCCCTAGCAGCAAAATTATTACCCATATTTTTTTCAAGGTCACTCATGCTTTCGACACGGGATAATCTTTCATCAACCAAAACATTCGTGACCTTGAAAAGAATTATCGAGAATTGATTCTGCTGATAATCACTTTTTTTATTATTCTCGATCAACATCAACGACCAAAACCAAATCAAACCAAATTTCGAAATTTCTAGATGTTCTGGAAACAATTAGGTTACTTTACTCAGATTAGGTTATGTTCTGAAACGATTTGTGCCACTGCTTTGTGTTCGTTTGTGTTGAGCAGTAGATCAGGCTTTCTGAATGCTCCTACTGGATCATAAAAATCATATCAGTTACGTCAGATCACGCGATCTAGATGATTGTTTGAGCATGTTGAGCTTTTCAAACGAACTGGCATATATACAATCATGAAGCATATGTCTTGGCTTTGCTCGTTTATTGTCTACATCATTTGAAATGTATCTTTTTTCATGTCCCTAACTATGAACCTAATTGATACAAAACTATCGTGGCAAGCACATCTAGAAGTTTGTGTTGAGCAGTAGATCAGGCTTTCTGAATGCTCCTACTGGATCATGAAAATCATATCAGTTACGTCATATCACGCGATCTTAATGGTTTTTTGAGCATGTTGAGCTTCTCAAACGAACTGGCATATATACAATCATGGAGCATATGTCTTGGCTTTGCTCGGTTATTGTCTACATCATTTTAAATGTACATTTTTTCATGTCCCTAACTATGAACCTAATTGATACAAAACTATCCTGGCAAGCACATCTAGAAGATATTAAAAAAAATGTTGGGCCAGTGGGTATTCTGAGAAGATTAAGTTACACTTTCGCAAGTTACATTCTGAAATCTGTGTATTTTTCCCTAATATATTCACATTTGCAACATCAACATAAGAGTTATTCAAAACCACTCGAAATCTAGCAAAACAAATCAATTAGAAACTTATATAATCTGCCATCAAGATATTCAACTTTGAATATATATGAACTTTACTATTAGATCCCTGGGGAGTTTATATACTTTTCAAGTCAATGTATTCATACATCAGATAGTAAAAAATAGTGCTAGACATTCACAAATCACATAGTAAATAGTGCTAGACATTCACAAATCACATTCCAAACTAGACAGGAAATTCACAGATATAATACTCGAAACTGTAGAAATTTACAAATCCCAAGAGTAATGACGAACTATGGAATCAGTTCAATATTCTAGAAAGGATTTACAGAGTACAACAAAATACCATCAAATATGAAAAGAGATGGTGTCGAAAAATTCAAAGCTTTGTTAAAGTCTCACATTCCACTGCAGTTTTATGATTTGTACAGTTAGCATTAGGAGATTAGGAGGTTGGATTTGAAAGGAAAACAATTATATACGTCTATATAGCATATATTATAGTTCAGTAAAAAAGACCATCTACAGTGTGTCCACCTTAAGGACTTACCACCCCTGTAAAATCATTATTATCCGACCAATTTCAAAAAACCTTTTTTTGTTGGATATGTATTTGAAATGCCCATCCAACGAGAGAGTGATCTAATTCTTGTTATCGTGGCCAACTGCGACAAATTTCAATGACCCATATTCCAGAAAGTACTATTAGGGATTTTTTCCCACGAAACTTGATGATGGATTCTGAATCAGTACCACTTGATATATACCTGTACCGATTTTCATCATCATAAAACACAGGGTGTCCGAAAAAACGGATCATCATTTTCTTCAAATAGGTGATCAGCAAATGTAGTTCTGTGGTTTTTCTAGAAAGAAATAATCACAAATTATCATTGAGGATTATTTCAAATATACCTGTACCAATTTTCGTCATTTGAATATACAATGTGTCTGAGAAAAAAATTAAAAAGGATAGGTAAGCAATTATTTTCATCCTGATAATTCTTCACTCAAAATAAAAATATGAATCAGGATCACTTGGAACATACCTGTACCGATTTTCATCATCATTAAACACAGGGTGTTCGAAAAATCAAATTAATATATTTTTTTAGTTGATGAAAAAATATTGCCTACTTTTTCTTTTTAATTGTTTTCTCATACACATCGTATTTTTGAATGATGAAAATCGGTACAGATATGTTCAAAGTGATCCTAAATAATAATGTGTCATCAATTCTTCTTAAAAATACCATATTTCTACATTTTCTGATCACCTATTAAAAAAAACATAATTCGTTTTTTCGGACACCCTGTGTTTTATGATAGTGAAAATCAGTAAAGGCGTTTTTCAAGCGATCGTGATTCAGAATCCATCATTGTTTTTTGTGAAAAAAAAATCCCTACTAGTACTTTCTTAAATATGGGTCAATAAAGTTGGTCGCAGTTGGCCACGATTACAGTTCATGAGTAAAATCACTCTGTTGTTGGATGGACATTTCAAATACCTATCCAACAAAAAAAAGTTTTTTGAAATCGGTCAGATAATAACAATTTTACAGGGGTGGTAAGTCCTTAAGGTGGACACACTGTATATATTACTATTATACAAATTAGGGTATATTCACTAAATTGCTACAGGTTTGAATCAATAATCTAATTATTATGTCCGATATTATATAATTTGTAAAACTATAATGACTTGTAACTAGTAACAGAGGTGTTCTCAGATGGTATTTTTATGTTTTTTTGTACGTAATAAATTCATTCATTCATTCATTCAAGTTGATAGTCGGCTGATGATGGCCTTATATAAGGCCGAAACATGTAACTTCATGAGTTCAAAGTTGTGTAGATGACTTTGGGTTTTCATCTGTGAAGGTTACAATTGCATCCAGCTGATGGCCGTCATGGAGCATGCGTACTACGCCAGCTTCGGATACCAGGTGACGAGCTTTTACGCCGCATCCAGTAGGTACGGAAACCCAGAACAGCTCAAGCGTTTGGTGGACAGAGCACACGAGTTGGGCTTGGTGGTCCTGTTGGATCTAGTACATTCACATGCTAGCAAAAATGTTATGGACGGGCTGAACCGATTCGATGGGACTGATTCAGGTACTTACATTTTTGATTACTAAACGATTGACGATAGGAAAAATATATTAACTGTTTCTCAACCCAAGAGTTATTATCAGACGATGAAAATTAGCAACTATAGTTCGTTTTTCGTTTTTTTTGCACTTCTCAGTGATGTGAGCTGTCAGAAGAATTGGTGAGTTACCGGGTGTTTTTCTAATTTATTTATTTTATTTATTGAACAAATAACTCCTAGACAGAATAGGCTCTGGTATAAGGAAGTACGTAATTATATACCTATAGGTAAACATATCATTATACAAAATATATCAACAACTGTAAATTGACAAACAAAGAATAATATTTGTAAAAAAAATGGCATGTTCAATTTTATCCAGTTCGCTCAGAAATAATCAAGATTTTCACTTCATTTTTGAATAAACCTATATTTCTGCAATTTTTTATATTGTCAGGTAGTTTATTGAATTCATTTGAGGCTGAATGAGTGAATCTTTTTTGTCCGATAATGGAGCTAGCGGCGTCAAGATGAAACAAGTTAAATTGTCTTGTTTCATGATTATGAATTTCAGAATTCCGTATCAACATAAAATTCGACTTCAATTTTTTATTTATGATATTATATGATATTTTGAGAGTTTCAATTCTATATATTTCATCTAAAGAATACGTATTTGTTAGTTGAAACAATTGATTGGTTGGTGTATCAAATAGGAGACGATACAATACTTTTAACGATTTTCTATATAATGTTGATATTTTATTGAAATTGTTCTTTGAACAAGTTCCCCAAACATTTATTAAATAGTTGATACGACTCAGTATATGAATATCAAACTACATGCAGTATTTAGATCTCTTATTTATGAATTCTAGGTCTAGGAAATAACAGATTTATCTAAGTCTGTTCATATGTTGTAGTAAGTAATTTGGTATGTGCCCATTTAGGAGAGATGCAATAGTGAATTTAAATTTATCATAAAAAACTGCATACATCACTTTTTGAATTTTCACCTCCTCAAGTTCACAAAATAGGCATTGGGTCTGTAATCCAGAACAATCAGGTTCTGGATTACAGTTTTTGATATTCTTCAAATCGACAGAGTGTTTTTTGAATCCCATATTGTTTTAAAATTTAAGGGGCTATCCCGCTTTCGAGTTGATCACACTGTATACCAACCATTTTAGGAAACAACTGTCACTATACAGGGTGGGTCACGGTCGATGGCACCTTAGACGTTTACGGAGAACGGGACATGAGATCATTTTGAAAATTTGGTTACTCACGTAGTTGCTCTTGGTCTATCGATCTAAAATATTTTCAGCAATGCAGCGTTGCCGCTTATACCAGAAAGTAGCAACAACTTTGTTATTTTATATGGAACACCCTGTATTTTATCGCATTTTCAGATTCTCTCTGAAGAGCTGATTTCATCGATGTATCACACTTGGGGTCTAGCGGAAATGATTACAGAGATATAGGGTGTGAAAAATCGACATTTTTCAACTTTAGGAATTTTTTTGTCGAAACTATTCATTATTGGTCAAAACGGCTCACATGTACCTATCCCAACTTTTGATCAACTATCTACTGACATTTAATTGAAACAAATACAGGGTGGTGCAGAATTCAGATTCTTGATCACCCGGTATATATGTCCCAATTAAATATCAGTAGATAGTTAATCAAAAGTTGAGATGGGGACATGTAAGCCGTTTTGACCAATGATGAATAGTTTCGACAAAAAAAATTCCTCAAGTTGAAAAATGTCGATTTTTCACACCCTATATCTCTGTAATCATTTCCGCAAGACCCCAAGTGTGATATATCGATGAAATCAGCTCTTCAGAGAGAATCTGAAGATGCAATAAAATACAGGGTGTTCCATTTAAAATAACAAAGTTGTTGCTACTTTTCGATAGAAGCGGCAACGCCGCAGAGCTGAAAATATTTTAGATCGATAGATCAAGAGCAATTACTTGAGTAACCAAATTTTCAGAATGATCTTATGTCCCGTTCTCCGTAAACGTCTAAGGTGCCATCTACCGTGACCCACCCTGTATATTCAGATTGATTGAATACTATTCCTGATATAATTCAGTGACTGCATTTAACCACAGTGACGACAATGATATGTCATTTTTTATATTGAATATAAATTCGCCATGTTTAGGCAAAATTCGAAGAAAATTTGAATGATTTGAACTTTGTGTTGAAATTAGTAGTGTTTTCTGTGGTTTCATTGTATTTTTCTCATGCAGTATTATTTTCCATTCAATCAAATATTTCTGTAGAACATAATATTGGTAAGTCAGAAAATATTTTTAATGATCATAATAACACCGTATAATAATGATATGTCAACTTTTCTATTGGTCGATAAAAAACCGCCATGTTTATGCAAAATCCCAGGCTTCGAATGATCTGAACGGATTTGAACTTTGTGTTGTTGTTGTGGAATTGGAAATAGTAGTGTTTTTCTGTAGTTTCGGTGTCTTTCCCCATGCAGTATTATTTTCCATTCGATCAAATATTTCTGCAGAATATATTGGTAAGTTAGAAAATATTTTTAATAATCATGGTTTAACCTTATATATTTATTTTCTAGATTTCATCTACGTGCATTTTTGTATGTTGCATATTTGATAAGACTGAATGGGGACAGATTAGGTGATCCAATAAGTTATATGAAAGCTTCTAGAACTATCTTATTTGACTTTGAATGCGGGATGGATTCGCGATGGTAAAATATACGTCTTTCATAGCTCCATCAGCTACTCCATGTGATTGAGAAGCTATAGAATACCAGACACATAGAGAAATTATCTGAATGAAAAAAGCAGTGACTTGAAACATCATGAAATTATGAATACTCAAAGCATGTGTTTCAAACATGTAGAATTTTCAGTGTATGTGGTTGAAGTGAAGTTTATGGAATTCAATGTGATGAAAATAGTAAAAAAAACTACCCAATAATACAAAAACCTTATATTTGCACAAAGCGGAAGCATATTGTCAGTCAGAATGACTTGAGTACGAAATTTTTATAAAAATGTCAGTGAATTGAATTTGCTGTACTTTGACCACTGCATGCAATAATACTTATTGATAACAAATAGTGTTTATGAAAGAAGTTCTTTTTATATCTCACAATTACACTGCTTGATCAAATTGATCAACACTGATGATTACTACCTATATAGGTATGTAGTATTTTCATCATCACTCTTGGGAAACCAAAATAAGTGAGTATTGGGAGTGGTCATTCTTGAAGACTGCATAATATGTTCGATTCTCCCAGAGATCTAATTATTAGACTGTTATCAATAACTCAAACTTTACCTACTGATAGTAAACTTGTGATTCCTTTGAGTTAGCATTCGAAGGTAAACGGTGTACCTACCTCTGGTCTCGTTTCAGTACCAACTTCCGAGTCTTTATTGGCCCCTTTTCAAGTGTTCATCTGAAACCATTCTGAAACTTAGTCGTCTATATAACCTAACCTGATCTAAATTCATTACGTTGTTGAATATTTGAATCAAGTGAAATATCATTTTTGTTGGCGCAATAACAACAAAATGCTTTTCAAAATATCCAAAACAAAAAACTGTAACGGGTGTTTTTCAATAAACTCAAGTATTTATGAAGAAAGTGTAAATGAGAGATCAAATGAGGTACCTAATTCTTGGCCAGAGTGATAGCCGGTTCGCTCAGTAGAGATGGTGTGGGTACACAACAATAATAAGCACAAAAAAATTGAAGATATAGAAAATAATAGGGCGCCACCCGTTTCAATTCTACTCTCACTCGACAATCGTGACTAAATTTCGTCTCTGAGAATTGAAGTAATGTTTGAATTGCGAGAACAAGAAAGTACTATCAACTTATTATGGGCTTCAATGGACTTCGATAGATGGTGAATCAAAATACCTTTAGCGATAAATCCACATATGGGACTAGTTCTCCTATTACGAGGACCCTAGGAATATAAAACGACGAAGTGATTTCAAAATGCCGACTCGAGGTGAAAGAAAGAGCATTTTCAAAGAGAAAAGATACATTACCTCCGAATATTTGAGGGTTCCCTATTCAACTTATTATGTGGAATCCAATCTCCTAAAATCTGAAGGGTTATTCTCTCCAGACGTGATGTAACTAGGTGTCTATGTAATGTGATGATTCATGGAACTGAAATGTACCGGCATGATAAAAAAATGTTGTTTCTTTTCCTGAAGTGAAGAATACTCACGGTTTCAGTGCAAAAGCCGCATTAAGCGATAACAACTTCTACGATTCACGCCAAAACAGAGCACAACCAAATGGTATAACTATAGTGTGAAGACAACCATATTTTGTCCCCAAACTCAAAATTGGCGAAATTTCGAAAAAGAAACGTGGCGTTTTGTCATAGAAAATTTTGGCACTGAAGCCTTCTAGAGTTATCTTCGGAATTGCCATCTTCATTACAAATATCGGGAATATTTGGATTGATGAAGCTTATTTATAAAAACATCTTCATCGTTTGAATATTTGAAATTAGATTGGCAGTACTGAGAGGTACTGACGTAGCACAAGAAAATGGTACTATATGAGACATACTAATAGTGCTCATTCTTAGTCCGACACATGGGTATTTGGTATAACTAAGAAAGACCAAAGCGCGAAGATTGTACTCCAAGCAGTGCTAAGAGAATAAAGATGGTACGGGAGCCAACGCTAACAATTAGTGTGGGAGACTAGATACAATTTTACTGAATTTGAATATTTATATTATAATTTAAGGGTCGACAAGATTTCATGGGTATGAACTAATGGGGTGTACCAAGAAAAGTAGGCGGTTCACCTCATGAGAAAATAGCATGTAACAAAACATAACGAACTAATTAGACAGAGGCAGATCATTTTACATTGGCCTAAACATGGCGGCTGCCAACGCGTTGTCGCCACTGTGGCTAAATTCAGTCACTTTACGATAGAAAATAAGCGTACGCCACTCATCGGAGTTTTTGAACGCTGTCAAAGCGGACTGTTTACTTTATTTTCATGGGTTCACATTTGTTTCTGTTTGTGCTTATTGCTCACATCCATCAAAACCAACCGCTCAGAATTGTTCAAGTTGTTGCCGTCAGATAGGGCGACGTGTTATTTTCTATCGGGAATAATTATTGATTTATTGTAAACATCAGGTTACTTCCATGCTGGCCCTAGAGGTGAACACTCATTGTGGGACTCTAGACTGTTCAACTATTCAGAGTTCGAAGTCTTACGTTTCCTCTTATCCAACATTCGATGGTACATGGAGGAATACCAATTCGATGGATTCAGATTCGATGGAGTCACATCGATGTTATACCACTCCAGAGGCATTGGTCAAGGATTCGGCGGATCATATGACGATTATTTCGATATGAGGGTCGATACAGAGGGAGTAGTTTATCTAATGTTGGCCAATCACATCGTGCACACTCTGTATGAGAACGCCATCACGATTGCCGAAGATGTGTCGGGCATGCCTGGTACTTGCCGGCCAGTGAGCGAGGGATGCCTGGGCTTTGACTATAGGTAATGTTCACAAATTATTGCCTTAATATGTTTTACAGGGCATTGCATGACGTAAGTTGTATTCGTTCAATTCGAATTTGATGATCTGAAGTAGGTCTATTTGTAACTATGGAAACATACAATAATAAAGTGAAAACTTTCAAGTTGATGCATATTGGCGACGGAAAATAATTACGTAGCTCTAGTGTTCATAAAGAAGGAATCATAATCGATTGTATACAGTGAATAGCGTCTTGACTACAGGGTGGCTGGAATTAGAGCCTCATTGGAATCTTGGAAACCGTAAGATATACAATGTCTGTAAACATATGACAAAGTTGTGCAATTTCTTGCCATACCGAATGCCGTTTTATATTTACATCGAATTTTAAATCACCCTGTATAGACCAAAGAGTTTTGATGACTTCAGAGCCTTTGTTGCTTCCACAAAATAAGTCAGTTACACGTTTTCTGAATACTTATTCACCTTCCTGGGCTCACCTCAATTCATGAATGACTTATCATGTTGTAATTCATATTTGTCAAAGTTACAATTTTACACTCTGCTACATCGGGAGGTGATATGAATATAAATTTTTTATCGAATAGTGATGAGTCCAAAGAGTTTGTAGACATTTACAAATCTAGTGATTTCAGAAACTGTAATGAGACTATTCCAACTAGGAGTTCATCACTGCTAGATTATTGTATCACCAATTCAGAAAAAAATCTAGAGTTATTTGTCATTAATAATTCATTGAGTGACCATAAATTCTATTTGACTTACATACCACTACTAAAATTGAATAATAAAAAATATGTGAACAAGTTAATAAATACATATTTTATTGAAAAATTAAAATCTGAATTGGAAATACTAAATGATAATATCAATAGTTATAATAATCTTGATGATGCATATGGAAAACTACTGGATACTTTTCATGATTGTACTGTTTCGAAAATGGTTAAATTAAAATGTGATTCAAAGCCATGGTTCAATAGAACTATAAGTAAATTGATCAAATTGCGGGACAAATTTCATTATAAAAAAAAATCTATCCTAATATAGAATATTTTGAAGAGCAATATAATTTCTATAATAAATTAGTGAAAAAGAGAATACGTGAAACAAAAAAAGAATTTTATGATGATACTTTTTTTAATGGTACTCCAAAATCAGTATGGAATGGTATAAACTCAATCTTATACAACAAAACGAAGAACAAAACAGAAAATATCAAATGTATTACTGTGAATAATGTACAAATCAACGACTTCCAGGAAATGAGTAATGAAATCAATAATCATTTCATCAATGTAGGCCAAAATTTATCGTCAAAAATTACTACAATTTCCGACACTGTGAAAGATTGCTCAAGTGTTCTATCGATGTTCCTAATTCCCACGAATATTTCAGAAATTGAGAATATCATTGATAATCTGGATGTTCGAAAATGCTGTGAATTTGATTATATTACTGTTAAGATTGTAAAAGTGATCAAATTTGAGTTAGCACATATTTTGTTAAACATAATTTCCAAATCGCTCAAAACTGGTATAATTCCTGACAAAATGAAAATTACTAAAGTATTACCAATTCACAAAAATGGGAAGAAAGATGATTTAAATAATCATAGACCAATTTCTGTTCTCCCGATCTTTTCCAAAATTTTAGAAAAAATTATGAATAACCGTCTAATAAATTATCTTGAAAATAATGGCCTATTGTTTAGTGAACAATATGGATTTCGTAGGTCAAAAGACACAGAGGTAGCTGTGATGGATGTCATTTCAGATATTCAGTTACGAATAGATGACAATGACAAATGCGGCATTCTGTCTCTGGATCTCTGTAAGGCCTTTGACACTGTAAATCATAATATTTTATTGACTAAATTATCATCAATAGGTGTCAGAGGCAAAATTCATGATTGGTTCCAAAATTATTTGAAGAATAGGAAACAGTATGTTGATGTGAATAATACTTGTAGTTCCTTGATGAATATTACATATGGTGTACCGCAAGGATCAGTTTTGGGGCCAATTTTATTTTTAATCTATATCAACTCAATATCTACTTTAAAATTGAAAGGAAAACTAAAATTATTTGCAGATGATACAACAATAATTTATACTTCAAAAGATTTCAACGATATCAATAATGATATTAAAAACGGTTTGAAACAAATATCATCTTGGCTAGTGACCAATAAGTTGACTCTTAATTATAGTAAATCTACGTATATGTACATCTCAAAAAGAACAACGGATATATTGAATAATACCCCAATATGTTTCAATAACAAATCCATTGAATATAAAAATGTAACAAAATTTTTAGTTCTATATATAGATGAACAACTATCGTGGACTCTACATATAGATCAATTGAGAAAAAAATTGAATCCTATTGCTGGTATTATATATAAAATTCGAAATTTCATTCCTGTTAAATACCTAAAGAGTATTTATTTCTGTCTTTTTTATTCAAATATAAAATATCTAATATCTATTTGGGGAAGTACAAATATTTGCGAATCTATACAAACCTAAAGACTTGCTGAATCTAGTTTCATTATATAAACTCAAAATTTGTTGTTTTATCCATTTTGTCAGGAAGGAATTGAAAATATCGAATTTGAATTTTAATGAAGTTAATACGATTCACGCCCATGAAACAAGGCAATTCAATTTATTGATAGCAAATAATTATAAGTCAAATTTTGGTAAACAATCAATATTCCATAATGGAATAATTTTGTATAACTCCTTACCTAATGAGTTAAAAAATATAGAAGAAGCAGAAAAATTTAAAATGAAATTAAAGAAATATCTGCTCAGTAAACTTTAATAGTACTACATTCACAATTTGATTACTTGTAATGAATTATGATATTTTCATTTTATATTTTATTATAATTCTTTTTTTTAGAAAAAAACAATAATGTGCAATTATTATTGTTTCGATTTATTATGTTTTATATGTATGTTTTGTTGTATATATCCCTATTATAAACAATAATGTTTCTTGGGGTAATAAAGACAATCAATCAAACTGTAAGTATTTCCCAGCATGCAAGAATGCAGGTTCATGGCAGCGTAGCGAGAGTTCTGTCGATACTTCCGTTAACGAGCGCAAGTGCTGTCAAATAATGACAGTTGAAGAAACAGGACAAGTTTACGTTGAAATCTGACGGCATCGAAGGTTACTTTGTTAATCGGTTGTAGAAAATGAATATTATATATCCTGGCACCAAAGTGACCAATTTCATTCTGTCGTTAGGACAGTTTTCAAGATAATTGTCTAACTGTGATGGTCAATCCAATGTGTTCCAACCACTAGCTTAACTGATTTTATCTGATGCGTTAATGATCTTGACATTCCTGATCGTACTGTCAAAGAATCTGTTGACGGTTGATGGTCTTGTGTCTTGTTAATCCAAGTTCGAATATATCGTTATAGTTCTCGATTTCATTAACGAGAGAACATATTATTTCCGATTTTATGATTTTTCATTTTGCAAATTATGGGATTATTAATTCACTATGATGAGAAAAATGTCAATTCGATGGAGTATGAATTACTTTATAGCATACCAACACACAACTCAACGGTTATCTGAACAGGCTAACCAAGTTCATTAAGTTCTGAAACACGACCACACAGAGCAGTCACATGATTTGACAATAGGCTGAGTTGAACAAGCATCATCACAATTACAATAAATTCAACTTAGGTCCAACCTTCAACTTAACGCGACCTTATTCTACTAAAACTAATTATTTTATTTAGAATAGCCTTTAGAACAAGCTCTTCCAGTTTGTAACGTATGTCATGCAACAATGCAACAATATATAGTCAGATTTAAAGTTAAATACAGATTACTATAATATTCCTACAGTTGAATATGTATACAATGCAGTGTTTCTCACACCTAAGATATAAACTGAATACACATTTCAGGCTAGCCATGGCGATTCCAGATAAATGGATCGAAATATTGAAACATGTTCCCGATGAGAATTGGGACGTTGCTAACATTGTTCACACTTTGACGAATAGACGCTGGATGGAACCAAGTGTAGCTTATGCCGAATCACACGATCAAGCATTAGTAGGAGATAAAACAATTGCTTTCTGGTAAGTCGATACTTTTCTTGAAGTGATTTTCAAACTCCATTATAAAACTTTTCTTTTAAAGTACCTTCTCGGAAAAATAACGCCGTCAACGTTAACAATAATAACTATATGATTATTTATTTTTTAGTTTTTTCGTCTATACGAACTATCGCATAGATTTCGGGAGGATGTAATCCAATGTTCTGCGTGGCCTATAGCCAGGAAAGTAGTTGTTTTTCTCTCGTTATCTACCATTTTCGTTCATTCTATGAACTAGTGTGGTAATGACTTTGAGTTTCTCTCTCTTTGTGTCCATTGCATTCCACTTTGAGTATTTGGCTTTTTCCCTAGTAGAAACCATATTTTCGTCTGATAGATCTGAATTCTGAAATTATTTTTGTTCTTCAGGTATTGAATATTTAATATTATTGTGATTTTAACATTGTAAAATGTTAGCATCAGTGTTTTCTGTGTAACTAGTGGATGCAGTTTTGGGCTTCTGCCTGTTTGTATCTCATTTTCATTAAATAAAAACATAAATGAATAATTAAATAATGGGTTACTGGTTTTGAAGCATCACCGCATATCTTGTCAAATAAACGATACATTCATGTTAGGTAACTACTATATTTATGTTAAATGCACATCAAAATTGTATTCATTAGCGTGTCCTTGCCTATACAGGGTGTTTCACAGGTAAAGGGAAATATTTCAATGGTAGATAGGGGTTACCAAGGTGGTTCTGAAAATACCATATTTGATAGGTCTTAGATTCTTCATAACGGAGATACAGGGCGATTTATCGATTTCGAATAATTATTCATTCGTCTATATGTTCTGACCTACCCAGTATATTTTTCCCAAATTTGGTAAGGAGCTTATACTTGGGACGTTTAATTCATTCACCTATCGATCGTAGTGAAAATCCAGGTTCGGCTTCAGGAAAAATTTACATTCATTCGAAATATTGAAATAACACACTGTATTTAATAATTAACACAGTAGGTACATCAAAATAATTGTGAAGAAGAGGAAAAACTGAATTGGGTTTGATGCTTTTTGTTTTCCCGCCACCAATTCTCATCGTAACAATCATAAACAGAAATTTGAAAGTATGTCAATTTGAAGAGTATTGAAATTATGAAACCAGTGTCAATTATGATCATTCGATATATTTTGGTCAAAAAATCGCTCGAAAGAACTTACTAAGTCTCACAGTTTTTATAACGGAGATACAGGGTGAATTATCGGTTTTGAATAATTATTCACCCGCCCATAAGTATAAAACTACCCAGTAAGATTTTCTCAAATTTGGTATGTAGCTCACTTGGGACGATGGATTCATTAACCTATCAGGCGGAATGGAAATAATACCAAATGATTATAATTCGATGATTCACCCTGTAGCTCTGTTATGAAGACTATGAAACTTTTCCTGAAGCTGAACCTGTATTTTCATTCTGCCTGATAGGTCAATGAATCCATCGTCCCAAGTGAGCTCAATACCAAATTTGAGAAAATATTACTGCGATGGGTAGTTTTATACTTATGGACGAGTGAATAATTATTCGAAATTGATAATTCACCCTGTATCTCTGTTATAACGACTGTGAAACTTAGTGAGTTCTTTCGAACGATTATTTAACAAAAATATATCAAATAATCATAATTTGAAGTGGTTTCATAATTTTAATACTCTTGAAATTAACATACTTTTAGCATCCTGTTTATGATTGTTACGATGAGAATAGGTGGTGGGAAGACAAAAAGCATCAAATCCAGTTCAGTTTTTCCTCCTCTTCACGATTCCTTTGATGAACTCTGTCAATTATAACATACAGTGTGTTATTTTAATATTTCAAATAAATGTAAATTTTTCCTGAAGCCGAACTTGGATTTTCACTTCGCCCGATAGGTGAATGAATTCAACGTCCCAAGTATAAGCTCCATACCAAATTTTAGAAAGATATACTGGGTAGTTAGTTCAATAATTATAGACGAATGAATAATTATTCGAAATCGATAAATCGCCCTGTATCTTCGTTATGAAGACTCTGAGACCTATCAAATATGGTATTTTCAGAACCACCTTGGTGACCCCTATGTACCTTTGAAATATTTCCCTTTATCTGTGGAACACCCTGTATACTCGCATTTGAATCGAATACGAAATCCCCAGGTTGATGGACAAAGAAATGTACACGCACATGAGCACCCTCTCCGACCAGTCGTCCGTCATCGATCGAGGCATCGCCCTGCACAAGCTCATCCGCTTCCTCACCCACGGCCTGGGCGGCGAGGCCTACCTGAACTTCATGGGCAACGAGTTCGGCCACCCCGAGTGGCTGGACTTCCCGCGCGAGGGCAACGGCAGCTCGTACCATTACGCGCGTAGGCAGTGGAATCTCGTGGACGACGACATGCTCAAGTACAAGTTTTTGAATAACTGGGACGCCGCGATGAACCACGCGGAAGCGAGGTATGTCACATGAACATTTTTTTCCACCACTAGCTATAGGACCTATCATTATGTATTCCTTTTCAAAGCATGAAGTGTATTTTTTCTACCAAGGTAGTTTTCGTCATTTTATGAACTACCAATTCATGAAGACATCCACCTCTATTATAATTAACCAGAATTCAATGTTCTGATGCGAGATTCGCAGGAATGGCACTCGAATCTAGTAGGCATTTATCAATAACGACTTTTCATACTCAAGTACAAGTTTTTGAATAACTAGGACGACGCGATGAACCATGCGGAATCGAGGTATGTCACATGAACATTATTCTCCACCCCTAGCTATAGAACTTACCATTATGTACTCATTTTCAAAGCCTAAAGTGTATTTTTTTCAACCAAGGTTGTTTTCGTCATTTTATGACCTACTAGTTCATAAAGACATCCACCTCTGTTATAATTAACCCGAAGTCAATTTTCTGATGCGAGATTCGCAGGAATGGCACTCGATTCTAGTAGGTATTTATCAATAACCACTTTTCATGGCTACTTAATTTTGATCAGAAAAGAAAATAAGGGCTTTAATAATAACAATAGGTCCATATTTCAGTTTCCCAGAACTATAATGATTAATAATTATTTTTGTATCTAGAGCGTGAAATGCTACTTTGGTGATCGAGATCTGATTTTTTGAACGAGGCGTAGCCGAGTTAAAAAAATAGTCGAGATGACCATAGTATTTCGCGCTCGAGTTGCAAACAACATTTTTTCTACAAACGTTCAAAAATATAGTTCTAAAGTAAAAATATGCTAAGCTTGATATACAAAATATTGTTGAACTGGCTTAAAAGGCCTCCCCCTATCCTCCCTCGGTACGCACGATGTTCCACTAACATAATAGGAATTTCCTTTCGTGCACTTCAAGAGATAAAACGAAGTTATTGTTGAACATTCAGAAATGAATGATTTTGTGGATGTTTGCTCGATTGAGGACTATTATACAGTTGTCACTTCGTAATTTGTTATCAATGCGCGTACCTTGTCATTTTTTCGACGTTTGTGTTTGTGTTTTGGAAGCAGAATTGAAAAATCTAACCTCAAAAAAGTCATGATCAAAGCTTCTCTCTACGAAACGTGTAACGAGCGCCCCCTATGAGTGTGCGATGTGTCAGATTGCAAAATAAATCCATCCAAAATTGAACTACAATGTTGCCAATAATTTCGACGTAATCGTAGAATGTGTAGAAGAATTTTTTTTTCAACACCTAGTATCTTGAAAACGAATGTCGTTATGACATTTTTTTACCTAAATTATTTTTCAGTGTTGTACCTACCCTAGCAAGGTTTTGATACATGTATCGATTTACGCACATTATTGTATGCTGCTATAGTTCTCCTTCAGGGAACCTGAATCATTGGAACCGATGACAATGCGCATTTTTTTCTTTGTGTGGAGTTTAAAAAACTGCATTTTAAACTCATTTGAAATGAAACCCATGAATAAGTGGCGGACCTGTCACGTCCAAAACAATATCGCGCATTGATCATAGAAGTATATTTATTGACACCGGTAACCCTCCTGATGAACATCATAAACCCATAGATGGACTAGGAATATTCTATAGTGATAATTCAATCAAATCTCTTCATGAATATCTAAATATTGAGCTATGGCAATAGATTTTTTTATTCAAATGACACTATCAAGTCTTGTGATTGTTTCCTACAAATTCTCTTGCACTATTTCAATAATCTGGTGGCGTCAATTCTAAGATAGGACATTGCGGTCACGTCATAAATTGTGGGACGCTGCCATCTCTAGTCAACACGTACAGCCTAGAGTGTATGACGTGACCGCAAGGTCCTACCTTGAAACTAACGCCACTAGATGGCGAGAGCATGACTAGGTCATCATTCAGTATCCGGCGTCTTCGAAATGGGTGATATACCCGAAGCTTTGAGTTGTCGTAGTTGTCAGCAGACCGAGAGCGGCTGATGAGGCCTGGTGGGCCGAAAGAGTACTGTATCGTTCCTGCTGACAACTGAAGCAATTATGTTCATCCTAGATCTCTCAGTTATGAGATCTAGTTCAATATCAAATATATCTAAATATCTCTATTTAATATTGAAATACTAATTTATCATGTTCTAATTCGTGAACATATAAACATAACATAATAAATAAATATTGGTTTTCCACTTCATTCACTCCACAAGTGAGCTGGGGCAGAAAGAACGGCTGGGGCAGCGTGCACATACTGGGCTGCACGTACTGGAGCAAGCATGTGCAAGTGGGGCAGAATATACCTTCTGTACTGGGGCAGAGTATACATTCAGTACTGGGGCAGAGTATACAATATCTACTGGAGCAGAGTGTGCAGCTGGAGCTAGGTAAACTGGAGTTTCATGCTTCTCCACGACTGTGTTGAACATGTCGTGGTTATCAGCGGAATAGTGGACAGTACGAAGAGTGCTATCGGGATCAGCTACGGAGCAGTAGCTCTTCACAGAGTCAACATCACGTTGTTCGTATTTGGGGTGAGCCTCTTGTTGGTAAAAAAGAATATAAGCATCCCCACTTACGAGAGAATTCGACGAAATTGAAGAAACCAGGGAATCATTGTATTCGTGCCAAATTTTCGTATATAGATGTCTGCAGTAGGCTGTGTAGTGTCCGCTGTAGGTGGTACTGCTGTGGTTTGAGATAGCGTACAGATTGTAAGGACATGGAACGATATCTTTTTTGGGAACTTGTTGATGAATAATGACTTCAAACATTTTCTTTTCTCTCTACACATCGAGCAAGTTGGTTTCTCCTCGCCGTCTAAAATCTCAACACTCGTAAACGAGTCCAAGCAGTGAGACAAGCTGAGTTGGCCTGATCGCTGTGGTATCGGTAAAGACAACTCCCAAAATGGGTCGAATGTCTCCGAACAATATCCACAGAAGGTGCATCTCAAAGTAGACTTCAACTGCCCGACAAAATTATCGACGAACTTAGATTTATTCATTATCAAGAATCTCGACCACGAATCCATTGCGTCGACATTAAAACTAAATGATTTGTCGATTTCCATAAGTACTGGCTTTGGGTTCGGGTTCGGTTCATCTACGACCATGTTGACGTCCTCGTGCAGCCCTTCCAGCAGGTAACAAAGAAATTCTTGTGCATCCTGTTGCGAGGAGCCTTGGAATTGAGGTGCGAACCTTTGAATCCGAAGTTCCAGATCGTCCAAACATACGACTCGGATCGAAGGATCGTTCGACCAAAGCTTCTCTATGACGTCTGCAAATGCTTTTATCAGAGTCCCCTTCTTGCTTGATGACCTCTTGTTCATATCATTGAAGTAAGCATTCTTCCTCAAATATTCCAACATCCACTCAGTTTGAGACAGGCATTGAACGACGCTGTTCATGAAACAAGTGTTCCCGATATTCTTCAAACCGATTAGGCCTGAATTCAGAACAGGTGGTGGCAACTGCGATCTTAGGGCAATATTGTCCGGATTACTGAGGTGTCGGAGGTAGCAATCATCGTCTCTGACAATAGTTTGGTGATGGATAGGATTCGGATTTGAGATGACGGGTAAGGAGCTGGACTGATTTAAATTGAAGCTTTTTTCATACAGCTGAGTATAGAACTCCGAAGTTTTTTGTGGACGAATAAAAATTTCATCCAATCGCTGAGTAGAAGGAATAGAACCCAATATTGATGATGCATTTCCTCTTTGGATTGCGATACTAATACGCTGAATCAGGAAAGATCGAGCTCTATTATCGTCAGTTTTATGGATGAGTTTCCTTCCAATGAGATCGAATAATTCTGTAGCATAGGGGCCAAAAGATCCGTAAGTTTCTATGGCAACAGGATAAAAAATATATTGGTCCCTCAAAGTAGAATATTTTTTCAACTTCATTTTTTCAGCTAAATCTGCTGCTCCTCCGGCGATTTTTGATGTCGAATCGATATGTGAAGCAGCAACTGTATCTACGCATGTGAAGTCCCAATAGAGACAATAAACGAATAAATAATAAGTCCAGTAAATACTTCTTGCATTATTGAACAGATAAAAGACTATATTCCTGACTCCCTTTACAGAACTTGAATTATTGTATTTGCTCAAATCCAAACTGAATAATAAATTATCGTCGGGATACGACGAAATATTTACTTTCATCCTGAGAAAAGTGTTAGATTTGATAGTGAAACCAGTCACATATCTCATTAACCAATCCTTCAAATCAGGGCATCTTTCAGATTGCTTGAAAATTTTAAAATATCTGCTATGCAGAAGGTATTTCCGAAATCAGGGCAATACATAAAATGAGACTTTCTAGGCTCTTTGAATATGCATGTAAAAACGAATAAAATTATAAATGATGAATAGTATAGTTTTCCTCAGAAAAATGAAAATCCTCAGTAATTCAAGCATACTACAATGAAATAGCAAACTATGTATACATAGGCGAGTGCCCTGTAGGTACATCATGAAACTCTTGTCGAAAAACTTCACCAGTGGCGTACCCAGAAGTGTACCTGGGGGGGGGGGATCTAATTTTTTTTTCAAAACATATTTTCATTCATGATTATTGGGAACTACAATAATTTTGAACATTACAAAATGAAATCTAAGCGCCTTGGTTTGAGAGCAATTTCTTCAATAATTTCTTCAACAGATACGACTACCTCTCTATGAATTGATAGCATGGCAAGTCCATTAAGCCTCACTTGGGCGGTAGTGTTCCTCAAATAGGTTTTGATGCGTTTCAAAGTAGAGAAGGTTCTTTCTGGTGTCGCAGTGGACACTGACAATGTACAGAATATTTTTAGAAGTTTATTCACATTTGGGTAGGCATATTGACTACAAATCTCCAAACAGGCCAATGCCTGACGTTTGTTTCTGATTTCCAAACATTTATTCAAATGTTCGTGCCACATTTTGATCTCGGCTTTGATGATAATTTTAGGAATATCTGTTAGATATATATCCAGTAGTTTATCATACTGATTACCTGAATTAGTTGCTTGACCTGCAGTTCCTACTGATGTTGGAAATAATGAGTTCATAAATCCGCTCAAAATGTCTTTATGATTTGTAAATCTCTTCCAGCTGGTTGATGAAAAAATCTGAAGTTTGACCTTTTTATCTTTGAATTTATCCAATAGGGGAAAATTATATGATGGTGGCGGAGTCCAAGTGTTTGGATTATTTTTATTTTATCTTGAACTGCACCGTGCCACCGTGTGAACAATTTTCAATATATCCTGGATGGATTTGTTCCAAAGATTTAAAATGTTAATCGGGAGAAATAGAAGCGGAATTTTCATTCAACTCCAACTGTAACGGCAAATCACTTCCATCAGTTCCAGTTGCTGATGTAGAAGCCACCCTATCATCATCATCATCGTTGAATTTTCTTTTGAATAATCTAGATAAATCACTTTGTTTCATCATTATCAAATTATACACTAAAGGTAGGTAACTGGTAAACATTGAACACTCAAACAACTGCACCTCTCACTTGTTATCGATCGTACAACTCATTACCTAGAATGAACGAACTGACTGAATAATATCGGGGAATCACAGCTCATGACCGAAAATCCCAGCGAAAGAACATTCGACCTATACTGAAAAATCATGCTTGCACTATTCTCAGAAATGTTGACGTATTTCTGAGGCATATTAATAATTAAACAAATTGGCTACACAGATCAGTATCTAAATTATTTGGGGATATACTCCCTTATCCCCCCCGTAGATACGCCACTGAACTTCACAGATATTCATTTATCAGATCGGTCAGAATTTGTCTCCTTGAAGAATTCTCAGTTCCAAGCTAAGAACGTAAACATGGGAGTGCCGCAGAGGTATATCCTGGCTCAGATACTTTTTAACGTCTATACGAATGATATTATAAATTAATTGAATGTGCCAGCATCCCTCATCTGCTATGCTGACGACACATCGATGAATTTATCATCTCTATATGTATAAACCAAAAATTTGTTTTTTTGTTGATTTTGTGAGAAACAAAATTAAAAATATCCAACTTCAACTTTACTGAAGTAAATACAATTTATACTCATGAAACGAGACAGTGGAATTTATTAATAGTAAACCCATATAAACTCCATTATAGGTAAACAATCGGTATTCTACAACGGAATAATTTTATATAATTCATAACCTTATGATTAAACATATTGATGATGAAAAAATATTCAAAGTCAATATGGAAAAATATATACTCATGAAAGTCATGGAAACCATCCATACTTCGCAAAGTAGTCCAGATTTTTTCATAGAAAAAACAAAATAACATCAAATCGGTCGACCACAAGAATTATATTACACAAATTGTATTGTTTGTGACTAGTTTCGGCTCAAACAGCCATCTTCAGACACATCAGTACACAGTACCTGTAAAGATATTCAATTTACAGAGGATAATAAGTTATTGAGGAACAAACATGCCTATAAGGTCATGTGGAAATCACACTTTAATTTTCAATTTTATCTTATAATGTGATTTTCACATGGCCTTATCCCAACAAACCCCCGGAAAACTTTTTCATTTAAATTTATGGTGGGAACGAACAAATGGCATCCAAAAGGGCACACATGGATGCGACATCAAAACTGTTCCCATATTTGGAGTGCAGCACCCAAACATACCCTGAAACTGTTGGATTCTGTCCAAAATAGGCCAATTCGCCTCGTGGGTGTTGCCTCGCTCACAAACTCACTCACTTCTCTGGAACACCGTAGAAAAGTTGGCGATCTGGCTCTATTTTATAGATATTTTCATGGACGATGGCTCTTCTGAAATATCATCAATTATTCCTCCCTTGGCAGTTCCCGCGAGATTAACCCGTCGAGTTGAGGCTTCGCACCCCTTCATGGTCACTTTGGAGACCTGCAGAAGATCTCTTTCCAAAGACTCGTTCTGATTTATCGCTGATGATGTTCATATATATGTACGAAACATGTAACAATTTTTGATGTGTTAATCACATTAAATGTCGTGGAGATGACTTTGTGTGTCATTTAGTATTTAATACTTGACTCCACTTTGAGAAACCATGGACTTCCACCAAAGATTATATTATTTATTTATTTATTTATTTAGGTATGGGTGGCTGGGTTCCGATCCGGGTTACGTCAGCCTGAAGCACGACGGGGATAAGGTGGTGGTATTCGAGCGGGCCGGCGTGCTGTTTGTTTTCAATTTCCATCCGGTCAAGAGCTTTGCTGATTACAGGTAAGGTGTTGAGCATACATCTATCACAAATATATGGCGTATTGCCTATTATATATTCGTAACAAAAACGGCATCAAAATGAAAGGTACTTTCCGGCTCTACTAGGAATTATAATTTTTTGTGAGGTTAGTTTTGTTGATAATGATTAAATGATGATAGAGAAGGATTAGATTTCAATTCTTTGATTCATTTCTTCATTATAATTCGTATATTTATTTGTAAACCTGTAATCAATAAAAATTTTATAGGAGAATAAATACTATCTGTAGGTTGATCAAGTGTGATGAGGGTGAGATGAAGTTTTCGATTCAACCTAAATAACCTTCATTCAAAGATGCTTCCAAAGGAAGTTAACATCTTTTGATATCATAGTTCTTAAATAATTTTACAAAACTTTCATAACTAATGTATCATTTTGTTCATTTGCCGAAGCCAACTGATCATATTTCAGTAATCTAACATGATTTTATACACAATACACTCACCGGCAAAAAAAGACCAGCAAAAATTCTGCCATATTGATCGCCCTGTAACATTTTCAAATCTTGAAATTTTCTTCAAATCGTAGATTCATGTTTTGGAGTGTTATCCTGAATTTTGATTCTTAAAAAAAGCTGATGGCTTATTATTATATAGGGAAAAACAGAAGTTACTGTTTCACCTGTGTTGTTTGAACTCAGATAATGAAAAACATGTATCAACTGCAAATATGATTTTATTTTTGTATCCGCGTGAACATTTAAATACGGTGTCTAGATATTGACTGCTGGTGTTTTCCTTGATATCATATACCAGTTTGAAGGTTCATAAAAAAGGAATAACAAAAGTGGCCTACAAGGTGCGCCAAAAAAATTATTGAGATAAACAGAAATACATTATATCACCCTCGACTTCTCAATGCTCTATGGCAAAGGTAAGTGGTTGAACTTAGTTTCATCTAGAGACACTGGATGGTATTGGTAGATAAGAGTTCGGACACATCTAAACTTCTGTCCTTTTCTATTTTCTAAATTACAATGCTTGAGTGAATGAAAGAATAAGACATATATTATGCTCTTTGTCTTTTCAATTTCCCTTATAGCGCCGGATTGTCAAATACGATTTTAGAGGTTATATTTTCTCTCAAATGAATCATAGCCGTAGATGAAAAGAAATAGGGTATTATCATCCGCTTCAATTCATTTGGCACTTTTCACAGAACAACAGCAGTTATAAAAATGCGAAGAATGCATGTAACATTTTAATATGACAAAATAGACACATATGGATATAGTTATAGCTAGTTCTGTCGGTATTGAAAACGTCATTCAATGAGCCCAAGATAAGAATGGCTATCATGGGGTATACTTGATGATGGTTTCTCCGAAACGAAATCTCGTACGGAAAATATCTCAACGCTATTTTGTAGAGCTCCAAAAATGGGACGAAGAAAGTGCCTTCTGTTTTCCTATATCTCTCTAATTAACGTCAGTAAATAAAACCATGATAGACATCCTTATTTTGGACACAGTGTATATCACGTTACAATTCACTTGATTTCCTCAGTTTCGTTCCAATTTTCCAATTCCAAATTTCCAATTCCAAATTTCCAATTTCATTACGTAGTTTTGTAATCAATTCCTCTTTCTCCATGATGATTTTGTTTTGCATTTCGTGTAATGATAATAATAGATTTTTTTGAATGGTCCGTTTTGTAAGTGGATGGAACAGCAGATTCTCTCTTTCGTTCAAAAATTGGCTTAAAATATAGTTTCATTCTAATCTGCTGTTATGAAAAGTGAATTTTGATGTATGTACCTCACAAATTCTGCTTGTTCTCAAATTAATTGTCCATCCAGACCTTCCATCCATATGAAAATGGTTGATATTACCTTTGAAAAATTAAATTCATGAAATCCATTCTCTTCAGAATTCCCACAATTCATTTACACAACATGACATTTCCATTTATGCTTTCGTCTCAATAGTTTATGTCGTTTATGAAATTATATTACAATTCTGACGTTCATGAAAAGTACTGTCAAATTCAGACAATTTCGAATGAAAGAGCGCGGGACGACTATGGTGCTCTTGTCACAATGCAAGGTGTGTAACTTGATAAATCTAAACATTCAAAAATACTAACAGTTTTCATTTCTGTGTCCGAAATCTTATCTAACTAATACCATCTAATACCAACCAGTGACTCTAGTTTCATCATGTTTTGGATAGAAGTGTGATCCCTTCTCAACACAATGATTTTTGATTCACGTCAATATCCTTTCCTTGAAAGTATGGATTTTTTAAAAATGTATTAACAATAATTCAGAACCCTTCTCCACCCTTCTACTTCATCATGTTTTGAATTGAAGTGTGATCTCTTTTCCTCCCTTCTCAACACAACGGTTCATTATTTACGTCAATATCTTTTATTAGTGTTTTAAGAAAGTATGGAATCTGTTGATTTTCATCAACAATAACTCAGAACCTATAACACATCTTTGGAATGGACTCTAGAGGCTCAATCGCCTTTCGTTCGGCCATACCACCGGTTGATTATTCGTCGAAGACAGTCAAATGGTCACATAATTACTAATATTTCAATGTTTGTCAGTATTCGATTTCTAAAAAATTGTTCTAAAATTGTTCTTATCCATCATTTGGTTGCCCCCTTACGAGCAACCCTCAAAAGTCTTCAAGAGACTTGTGCGAGCACGGAATGACGGGGGTCTTACCTTTGAACGTGTGATCCCAAACACTTTCTTAGGCCATCAGACAAAGGACCCCGCACTTTTAGTACGTAAAATGGTTCTCGGTGAAATTTTCTGAATTTTCAGTATGTTGTAGAATCCTATGAACTGATTGAACCTGCAAAATCGTAAAGTTCTTTGATGAACAAATTCTGAGATACAGGGCGTTGAAGTTACAAATCGGTATTTTTCGTTTAATTATTTTCTCGAAATTCGAAGATGCCAAGTACAATTTTTTTCGCTCATATCATCAACGAACCTCCATATTACTCAACATAATTCAGATGGTTCAGATAATGTAATTGTTTACAGAGTGAAACATATAAACATTTCAGTGATGTCTGAAAATTCGATGTAATAATGAAATATCGAGAAAATAATTTAGGCATGCAATATATTATTCTCATTCCATCATGAATCACAATTTATACATTTTATACAGGGTGATTTGAAAAATTGGTGACACCTAAGACCGATTTATTCATACACATCCTGTATATTCGAGTGAATTGTTAACCTCCCAAGATAGCTGATACCGTATGAACATGATTTCGTTGAGATATATAGGGTGATCATGAAGATTTTCGATGATGAAAATGACAAAAAATCGAGTTTTTTGAAATCACCCTGTTATTCATGATTAACTCGGTGAAATTCCCTAATTATTTTTTAATATATTCATCATTCGCTCCTCAACGCTGTCTTGAGAATTCAGTTCCCTATCATGACGGGTGTCATAGTTATTAATTCAGGAACTTACCATTTGCATGAAGAGTTGAAGAGACTTGTTCACTTACATTCGCATAGTGGCCGATATTTTTCACAAATAGTGAAACGTGAGAATGTGGAGACGAAAATAAGTTGAGTATTCATATACAGGGTGAACATTAGAAATTCAATAACAATAAAATGTCTTCAACTCTTCATGCAAATGGTAAGTTCCTGAATTAATAACTATGACACCCGTCATGATAGGAAACTAAATTCTCAAGACAGCGTTGGGGAGCGAATGATGAATATATTAAAAAATAATTAGGGAATTTCACCGAGTTAATCATGAATAACAGGGTGATTTCAAAAAACACGATTCTTTGTCATTTTCATCATCGAAAATCTTCATGATCACCTTATATATCTCAACGAAATCATGTTCATACGGTATCAGCTATCTTGGGAGGATAACAATTCACTCGAATATACAGGATGTGTATGAATAAATCGGTCCTAGGTGTCACCAATTTTTCAAATCACCCTGTATGAAATGTATGAATTGTGATTCATGATGAAATGATGATAGTATATTGCATGCCTAAATTATTTTTTCGATATTTCATTACTACATCGAATTTTCAGACATCACTGAAATGTTTATATGTTTCACTCTGTAAACAATTACATTATCTGAACCATCTGAATTATGCTGAGTAATATGGAGGTTCGTTGATGATATGAGCGAAGAAAATTGTACTTGGCATCTTTGAATTTCGAGAAAATAATTAAATGAAAAATACCGATTTGTAACTTCAACGCCCTGTATCTCAGAATCTGTTCATCAAAGAACTTTACGATTCTGCAGGTTCAATCAGTTCATCGAATTCTACAACATACTGAAAATTCAGAAAATTTCACCGAGAACCATTTTTCGTACTAAAAGTGCGGGGTCCTTTATGTGGTCATGGTGGTAATCGAACCCACCTACCGGCAATCCAACGTGGATAGAATACGACGATTCAATAGCAATTAGATATTTTGTACATTTTCGATAATTGCCCAATAGGTATATGAGAATATATGTACAGGATATTCTCGAAATTGGAGTGATAAATACCTAACATGGAATGTTGTGTATTTTTATCGCTTGGAGCGCACGAAAAGAAATTCCTATTATGCTCAAAGAACATGGCGCGCACCTACGGAGGTTAGGGAGAGGAGGTAAGTATTGGATTTTTTTCAATATTAGCTCTAGAATCTACCATCATTTAATTCATGGTAGAAGTCCATATTTTCACAAAGTGCAGTGAATACGTTTCAGAAACAAGACACAGACTTAGAGTGTGTCTTGTTTCTGTTACCATTATTTACTCCTTTTCAAGGCGTAAAGTGTGTTTTTCACTACCAAGGTAGTTTTCCTCATTTTATAAACTACTAGTCAATAAAGACATAGCCACCACTGATATAACTAACCCTAATTCATTGTTCTTATGCGAGATTCGCAGGAATGGCCCTCGAATCTAGTAGGCATTTATCAATAACGTGATTAGTTTATTGGAAATTCACTGCTGATTACATTCAATTTATTCTGAACTCTGAAGTATTCCATTAGTATTAGCTAGGATAAAATGTGATGAAGGCATCTTGAGACGTTTTTTATACTGTGCTTCTCAAAAGTTCTCTCCCCCTCTTATCTTTGGAACGATTATACATAAACAAGTGAAATTTGGAAACTGAATATTAAAGGTTGGAAACTTTCCTACTAGTACAAGGCCATTGTGGCCGATAATTTTGAATGGAACCCTACGGCAAGCGATACCTCTTTCAAAAGGTATCGAAGAAACCTACTAAATGATACTAATTTGCATAATTCCAGATTTTTTGGGATTTGCTCCTCGTTTCGTTCAAATAAAAATATGAATATTATTTCAATATACGTGTAGTAAGGACAAATCAGATGGTCAGTGACAATTTGTATTGAAAAAAGGTTTGGAGAAGAGAAATAAAGGTATATAGAAAAAAATATTAAATTTCCACAGTATATTGAAATAATATTCATAATTTTATTTTATAGAAACGAGGAGGGAAAATCCCAAAAAATCTGGAATAATGAATGTTCCACCTCCTCGATTAACCTACAGACAATACTAATTTTGTTTGTGTTTATGGCAGTTTTGACAACTATGAATAATCTGACGTTTTTGTTAGTCTCCCTACTTCGACGTTTCTGTAATTGTCCAAGTTTTTGAATTTGTGTAGGGGAGGGGACTTTTGAGAAGCACTTTATACTTAGTTTGGTTTCAGTTATTATGTTGAAATTTCGTTGACTAATTTTTATAATCAACAAATCAAACAGTGTTCCTTTATCTCAAGTACTCATTACCGAAAAATTCAATTGCTAATCTGGTAACTATGTCTACGACAGAGAGAGATGAAGCAACTGGCGCTAGCACAATGTTGCCAAGTTAATTATACTTCATTCCCCGCATAACTTCGCTGCTCTCATTTCTCATTGAGGCTTGTACTGAAATCAATAGAAATAGAACCAAGTAAACAATGTAGTTTTTGGATGTATGATGAATTGATATTCATCATACAGGACGTAGAAAGAAATTCTGAATTGAGAAAACCTAATAAGTTATATTTTCATATCATAATACATCATATTATTTTATCCGATTCGAGAGATGATGTCAATTTTCAATTTCAGAAGATTTTCATTTTTCATACTCTCTTTTCGGATGTTCAACAGATATAATTCAATGTTCGTCGTGGCATATAGCCAGGAAAGTAGTTGTTTTCTGTTGAATAAACCGAGAAAGAATTGATATATCCATCACATAGAGAATGCGAATTCTCAATGTATTTCTTTATATTCTTTGTATTTTTTTTATGTTCAAAATTATATCTCAGAATATCCTTTTTTAAACAATGTAGTATTGATTTCTTTCCCTATTGTTGATAGGTATAGGTAGGTATATGATAGATGAGTACCTAAACTTGAAAGTACTAGTACTTTACTGGATGGGATTTGAAACTGAATGTCAAGAATATCTGCAATGTAATTCGATACAAAATGACATTTCACTTAAAATTTTGAATAATCCACCAACAGAAATCATAACCATCCAACTAATTATGCAATGCAATTTTTCAGTACTACGTGTTTTCATGTAAGTAGTTATTACATGAGTTATCTAACACCATCGGTACTATTTGCTGATATGAAAAATGAAAAAATGAAATCATAGCTTTCTGTCCAAAATGGCAACATAGCCAAGTCCATTGTGCATTCTATTGACACCCGCGAGAAGGTGAGGGAATTACCAATTCAAATTGCTCGCGCACTGATGTCACACGTTTCGCAGCCATGTCTGATCGTTTGAATTCGCTCGTTCATTTGGGCGTTTTCAATAATTTGATACTTGACATTACACTCCCATTCCCTTCTCTCCTGGAGTTTGAAAATTATTTCAAAAATCCACATTGGTATGGAGAATAATCGACTGAATGATGAAATGCACACTTGAACTTCAAGTCGGAACTCATTTTATCATTGCAGGGTTGGAGTTGAGGTGGATGGGGAGTATAGGATCATTTTGAGTACTGACGATAAGGAATTTGGTGGCTTCGACAGGATAGACAAATCGGTGAAATTCTCCACTCATCCGGAGGGATACTGTGGCAGAAGGAACTATGTGCAGGTATGTAATTCTCTTATTGGTGATATAAAATAATCGTGAGCCACCTATCGAAATTTTTGATATCTGTCAAAGCAGTCTGTTTTCATTGGTTCACATTCGTTTTTTGTTTGTGATTATTGGTCAATCTGTTATATCAAACCTTCAGAAGCGTTCAAGTTGTTGCCCTCAGGTGGGGCGACGTGTTATTTTATATGGTTAATTTAATCTAAAATAGCATTGAGAATGAACGGGTTATACAAAGGAAGGGTCCTTCACTATATTCTTCGTTATTTTTGGCAATAGAAATAAATTGAAACAATCAAACCCAAAATCATCATTAGTATAGGCTCACTTATGAGATATTTGAAATTATGACGTTGCCTAGTTATTACCACAGAACTCAAAGACCTAGAAGGCCAATACCGTTCTATTCGATTGTTCCCCAACGTGGCTCGAATGGCAAATATGAGCATGCGCAGTATATACGAGTCCATTGGCGGCTTCAGAATTATTTGATTACCAGGTTTTTGTGGCTTTCTTGAGAGAGCAAAACATCGTGAAAAATTCATATGATATTTGTTATGAAGGATTCCTTCATGTTATTAGGAGTAATGTTTCGATGTATTTTCCATCAACTACAAATAGCGAGCTAATAGTAGCAATAATTCACCATGGTTCATCAAAAAATGAGTCGGCATGCATATTCTAATTTTTTAAAAAAAGCTCTTCACGTCCCTCTTAAGTCCAGTTTTAATAATCGTTTTAGTGCTACAATTTTTATTTATTTATTCATCAAAGTACACCACAGAATAATATATAATTCCAAATGGTACATAAAGTATAAAATATAAGTTATATAACAATAAACATTCAACACGTTGAAAATCATAAAAACTATATAAATATAGGATACAAAAAAAACACATAAAACTATGTATGTACTAATTCAAATTCAGACCGCAGCTTGTGATTTGCTTGTGATTTAAGGCGACTCAATTAAATATTGAAAATATCAAGGGAATCAAAATGATCATTGTAATTCTTCTAAAGTTTAGATGTGAATGCAGTGCTGCCAAAATCAGTTCGGTGATTTTGCAAATAGAAAAACTGCCTATTTCTAGTATTCCTAGGAGTAGCATTCATGAACAATTTGTTCAGGATATCAGAGCAATCGATGGAGTTATTAAAAATTTTGTGCAGAAACAAGATCAGAGCAAGTTTGCGCCTGTCTTCAAGAGTTTGAATGTTAACTATTGTGAGCCTCGTAGTAGCATCAAATCCATGAAAAGACATTCTCATTTTATAGATTATGTATTTTGTAAAGCGATTCTGAACTCTTTCAAGTCTTTCCTTGTGACCAAGATAAAATGGCGACCAGATTATGCTGTTGTATTCCAGAACACTACGTACCAACGATAGATATAATGTTTTTTTCGATTCAATATTGGATATATTTTGAGTGTGTCTTTTCACAAATCCAAGCATTCTCAAGGCCTTATTGCAAATACTATTTATGTGATGGTTGAAACTAAGGTCTTTGTCAAACACAATACCTAAACCACTTATATATTCAACAGACAGTAAATTGACATTATCAATAAAATAATCACATACAATTGGATTTTGTATTCCATAAAAACGCATCACCTTGCATTCATCAACATTTATATCCAATAAATTCAGTTCACAAAAGTTACAAAACTTCTCCAAGTCTTGGTGGATAATCTGGAAGTCATTCAAACAAGTTACTTCTTTGTAAAATTTGTGATATATGTATATGGGACCCTTGGGGGACTCCAGAAGTCAAATAGATTGGATTTGATGTACTGTTTTACGTACTGTGTTCTACTGCTCAAATAAGACTTTATCAGTGCCAAAAAGCTGCCAACCACACCTAATCCCTCCAACTAAGCTATTAACAGCTTATGATTTACTGAGTCAAAAGCTTTAGCAAAATCTGTATAAATAACATCCACCTGGTAACCCCTCTCAAGTTTCTTACACACCGTATTCTGGAAAACTCCTAGATTGGTAGCAGTTGATCGACCTTTAAAGAAACCATGTTGTTATTCTGATATAATATGTTTAGAAGTTTCAAATAGCTCATCCGTAAGTATAGATTCATACACTTTTGGGATAGACGAAATTTTTTAAATGCCTCTATAATTTTTGATATCATTTTTACCCCCTGATTTGAAAATAGGAGAGAGAAATGATTTTTTCCAAGTGTTAAGAAAGACTCCCAAATTGAATGATCGCTGGAAAATAATTTTAAGTGGTTGAGATAGGGATTGGCAACATTTGATCAATACAATAGGTGGAATCCCGTCAGGACCAGCACTTTTATTTTTATCCAAATTTTTTAATTTGTTTTGAATTTCGTTATCAGTGAAAGTATGATCATGTAGTGAGAAAGCATGTTGAATAGTATTTATATTTAACATGTTTTGAGGTTCTGTTATTTTGAAGCACGATTGGAAGTGTTCAGCGAAAGCATTAGCTATTTCCTGTGGGGTTTCCAGACAGTTACCATCATATTCCATTATTTTTGGCAAACCATGTTTTTTCTTCAAGGAATTTACATAAGACCAAAAATACTTGATATTGTTGGTCATCATGTGTTCAGTGTTTGATAAATAAAGTAAATAGCACATATCAATATGGTATTTAGTTTCTTTCCGTAGTTTCGAATATTCTAAATAATCTTCTTCAGACCCAGAATTTTTGAGCAACAGCAACGTCAATGTCATCAATTGAAGATAAAAAGGTCCAATCAATGTTATGGAGAAATTCATTAAGCCTAGGATAATCACCTTTATAAAATAGTAATACTTTCTCTCTAATGGTATGTGACGTGAGATTTGCACTATTATAATTGATTTCAAAATTTTCTTGATATAACAAAACTTTGTGCAAACACTTATGAATAGGTTATCCTGTTCGTTGTTTGAGGCAACTAAGTTTTCTCAAAATTGTCCAGTGGAGTTTTTTTATATCGCTTGGAGCGCACGAAAGGAAATCCCTATAATGTTCAAAGAACATCGTGCGTTCCTAGGGAGGATAGGAACAGAAGGTAGGTATTGTTTTTTTTTGAACTTCTGGAGATTATATGTTGTTCGGAATACTTCCTCAGGCAATGAATTCCAGAGCCTAGCCGTTCTATGGATGAAGGAGTTTTGATAAAGTGCTGTTCGACATCTTTCGAGGTTGACAACGAATTGAGATATTTTTCCGAATTGCCTGTTCAATTCAGAGAGAAGGGCACTCCAGTGGAATTTCGATCACGGGCTTCGTTCGGGCACGAGTTCATTGAATTAAAAAAAAACGAGACCTCTCGAAAATTGGATAGTTCAGTTGATGAAAAAAAAAAGGACTCAACTTCTCCACAGTATGGCATCTCGAACCAAGGCAATCATGCAAGCAACGTGGCAACTCTTGGTCAGTCTAAAATTGGATTCAATATCATCAGTTCCAGAGATCTGTAACTTCTTGCCAGATATTTTAGTTTTGGTAATATAATCATGACATCAAAATAGTGTTGGACTAATTCAAGTTTCAATTCTACCTTTTTTAATAATTGACAACAACTTGACATAACATAACTCACTATCAAAATACAGAAATACAGGGTGCCACATTACTTCCCCCCAAGTGTTAACGATACACTATTTTGTCTTCCGAGAATGTCACTTTTTTCCTAGATCAGTTGATTTCAACTGTAGGTGAAGTGCCAGTTTCTCCTTTTTTTATGTCGTTCTCAAACGCGGGCTTGAGTCGATCAATGGAAACGTTTTTTTCTTTACCTTTCATCGATAGCTTTAAGTATTTATCTGTTTTCTCTAATACATTATATGGACCAGAATAGGGTTGTTCTAGAGGCTTTTTAACTGAATCGGTCCTGACTAAAACAAAATTTGTGCTCTGTAGATCCTTGGATATGAAACATTTTTTATATCTATCATGATTAGTACCAGGGATCACTTTGAAATCAGCCATTGAATTTCGAAGATCTTCCAAGAATTTTGGGTTCATAACGTTCCTTTTACAATTTGGTACTACCATTTCTCCTGGAATTCTCAGTGCCGATCCATAGAGTAGTTCTGCACTAGAAGCTCTCAATTCTTCCTTAGGCATAACACGGATTCCTAGTAAAATGGTTGGAAGAACATCCGTCCAGCTTTCGTTATTATGACATTTTAGACTGCTTTTAGAGTTCTATGAAATCTTTCGATCATTCCATTTGAACAAGGGTGATAGGCAGTCGTTCTAATGTGCTGAAATCCCAATAGCTTAGCAAACTCTTAAAATAGGGAAGATTCAAATTGTCTTCCTTGGTCGGTGGTTACACTGGACGGAACTCCAAACCTAGATATTCAACCATTATGAAATGTCTTCGCTACAGTTTCCGCTGTGATATTTTCTATTGGAAAAGCTTCTGTCCATCTTGAAAAACGATCAATACAGGTGAGGCAGTAGGTGAAACCATGCGAGGGAGGAAGGGGACCAATAATGTCTATATTTACATGCTCAAAACGACTCTCAGGAACTACAAATTTTCCTACAGGTTATATAGTATGTCGAGTGATTTTTGATTTTTGACATAATATGCAACACTGTGACCAATTTCGAATATCTTTCTCCATTTTAGGCCAAACATATTTGCTCTTGATGAGCTTGACTGAAGATCTCACTTCAGGATGAGACATATCGTGAATTTTTTTGAAAATTGAACGTCTTAGATTATTAGGAACATATGGTCGAATCTTGTCTCCTGAAACATCGCAGAATATTTGAGTATTCGAATGCGGAATTTCGATTTTCTTCAAATTCAGAGCGGTTTTTCCATTCAACAATGTTCTTAACTAATCATCATCTGATTGTTCCGTCTCCCAGTCAGTGAAATCTTGGAAACTAATACTGGATATCCGTGATAAAGCATCTGCTACCACGTTATCTGAACCAGAAATGTGACGGATATCAGTTGAAAACTGGCCAATGTACTCCAGATACCTGGTCTGCCT